ATATGCTGCACCAGCATGCCTGTTGGTCCTGGGCATGCAGATTGAGCCCCCCCCTTTTTTTTTTGGCTAATGGCTTCTCACCCTGAGTTTTCTTTCACCCCCCTTCTCATTGTCACTGCCATTTTTTTCTTCATTGTGCAAGTGTCTGTGGTCCTACCTCTGCAGTCTCTCAATCGCACAGCTGGAACAGCCGAAGCCTGGGGGTCACTGGCTGCTAAGACTGTAGTGGGATTGGATTTGGATGGGCCTTTGCTGCCCCCTTCTGGTTTTTAGAAGCTCTAATTGAAAGTTGCTGCTAATTAGACTTTCCTGTGGACAGGTGTTAACATTTCTGGGTGGAACTGTACAATTGGATTGTTTTGCAGTGGATCTACAAGTGGCTTGCTTATAGATGCTGTAGGCTGTTCTGTTCAGCCATTACAAGCTTTTTATCTTACCAGTTTCGTTCACTCAATTTTAGTGGAAAAAATACTTGTAGAGGAGAAATAAGAACTACCTTCAAGTAGCTCACAGTTCTATGAAGAAAATAAGATATTATAAAATTGCATTATTTTATTATAGAAGTATTTAAACAGACAACAAATACTGTAGCCACAGTCTTTTTTAACAGAACAGTTCTTCAGATAACCATTATTGCGATAACCTTTAAAGTAAATTGATCTGAAAAACAAATTTTACATTTATCATTTGATAGCACTAAGTAGCATGTCTCTAAACTTGTAGTGTTTATGTACTGTGCTTGAAAATATATTTATAATGCTTTCAAAAATCACATGATTGGAATGTAGTTTTTCCAAAAGCAGATTGTAAGATCTTCATCTCTTTGTGTCTCTGTGTCCGTCTATCCTAATAGCACAGGCAGGTGGGGGGAGAGACTGACTCTCATATTTTCTAAGGCTAACAAAAAGATTTGTAATAAAACCTGATGTAGGCATTAAAAATGGAAAATTATACCTGTGTACAAGGACAAAAAATAAATGTCCTAAAGAATATAAGTAGACCAAACCCATCAGTATTTAAAAAGGACAATCATAAGACCAAAATGGATTTAGTAGTAATATAAAGTTGGTTTAATAGCCAAAATCCAACTAATGCACTTTATAAATTAACTATAAAATATGATAGGCAAAGAAAATTTTGGCACGATTAAACCACCATTTAATGCACTTTCAGCAAATTAGAAATAGAAGACACTCCTTAAATTATTTCCCTGAAATACCCTGAAAATACCCTGAAAACTCCATACACAAATAACCACAGTTGTCTAGTGGAGATTTGATAGGAAAAACAAGGTCGTCCCATGGCTGCCTCCCTCTGACTGGGGTGGCTATCCCCCTCTGACTGGGTGTACTTACCAGCTGGTGCAAAAAGACATATGGCAAGAAAAAAGTACTGTTATTTTCTTCTGAATATACAGAACGTAAACAGGATTGTTTATTTTAAAAAGCCTCAAGGGTTGATATTAACTATTATAATTACTAGTTGAATTAGAAAAGTCAGTTGGAACAAACCTAAGAACTGAAATGTAAGATAATTACAGACTATTGTGAAGCGTGATTGAAAAAAAAAACTTCTGAGCAAATAAAAGGCTTCATCTTGTTCAGATGTTGGAAGACTTGGCATTATCTAACTAACATTGCTTCTTTAGCTCTAGATTCAATGAAGTCCTAATTAAAATCCTATTTGCTCTTTTTCTTTAGAATTATTAAAACTTTTTTATTGAAATTCAAAAGACAACAGTGGACAAGATTTCTGAACCCCGAAATACAATCCATGAGGGTGATAAAGAATGTTTTTCTTTTTGAGGGTGTCTTGTACACAGCCCAGGCTGGACCAGAATTCTTAATCTGCCTACTCTTAGCCTCTCAAATGCTGGGGTCAGAGGCATGAGCTGCTTACACGCCTGGCAGAAAAATTATATTCTAGCATAAGTATCTAAACATGAAAAAGAAAACACATATCTCTCAGAAAAACTCCTTAATGACCTCCCTAAAGGAAGCAGTAGATAGGCAGGTGTGTCTACTGTTGAAAACTTAAGGGTGGAGAAAGTTAATGATGTGTTAGTAATGTCCCAGTAAAGACAGAAAAGCTTGATGGCTTAAGGAGATTAGTTAGAGCCAAATCCTTGGGAAAATGAAACCAGTTACAGAATTGGAGTGGTGTGAATTTTCTTACTTTGTGATCAGATCTGAGCTTCTTTATGGTTCCTGTATGATGTTGGATGTCTATCTAGAGAAGGTTTTTGATGACTGCTGTTACTCCTTCATATTAGAAGGGTAAGGCCCCTGGGCTGAGCTCAGAAAAACTACCAGCTACATTTGAAGTCCACTTTAGCACTTCCCCATTTCCTAGGCAGTGAGTGATGTGATAAAGGACTTCATGAAGACAGTCACAATTTCCACCTGGCGGGAAAACCTCTTTTAAAGGGCAGCCTTGAAATTCTCAGAAAGCTCTTGCCACAGCAACAACTTTTCCTTCAGATGCTGGATATACAGCTTCAAACTGTTAGTTCACTAGTATACTAATTACATACATTTCAAGTGCTATACCTTTTGTTGTCCATGTGGTATAGCTCTGATACCTTCTGAGCTGTGCAGATGTAGAAAATTTCCATTACAGAAAGGGTTTTTCAGTTTTTTGGTTTTTTAAGCTCTCCAACAGGGGTTTCTGCCACTGTTTAAAAAGACAGCAAGGACAGCTTTAGCTGAACTACTGTTGAACAACTACTCAGACATAATTTCAGCCCCACCACATTAGACTGTCAGTTGTCTCTTGAAAAGCATGCCCTCTCACTGTGTTTTTATCTGTATCAAACTTGGGGGTTAAGCAAGCATTTAGATTTCAGATTTTTTTATTGAATATTTTATTTACATTTCAGATGGGTTTTTTGGATATTTTATTTACATTTCCGATTTCTTTCTGAAATGTAAATAAATAAAATATCTAATTTTAAAAAAGCATTTAGAAGCTGGGTGTAGTGTGGTATGCCTTTAATCCTAGTACTCTAGAGGCAGAGGCAAATGGATCTCTGTGAGTTCAAGGCCAGCCTGGTCTAAGAGTGAGTTGGGGTTAGAGGGCAAAGAAAAGAGAAAGCTGCGTAGTAGGAGTGTAGAACTGAGTGAGGGAGTACTTCACAGGGGCCTGCTGTCTCTTTCCAGCTGCCCTTTGTAAATATACAAGAATTGCTAGAGCTTTGCTTCAGCAGTTGCTAAGAGCCTGAAATAGTGAGCCTTGGAGTTAGTCATAATAGAGCAGTGGTGCTCAGTCTGATACTGGTTGACAAATGTATATAATTACCATATGGTGTTATTCATAAACAATGTATATGTCCCAAGAAGATCCTGAAACATTTTAGTGTTGCTTTTCTTAGCCGAGGCCACTGAGACTCAGAGAAGGAAGAAGGGAAGGGTTAAGTCCTCTAAAGGCTCGATTGCTTTCCTTTCTCTTGTCCTCTTACCGCCCTCCCCCTTCCTGTTTATTCTTAGCCTCCTCCTACCCCCCCACCTTCTTTCTTTGAGTCTAAGTTTTTAGACTGGATTTTAATGCAGTAAGTAGACCAGGCGGACCTCAAGCTCCCAGAAGTCCTCTTTGTTAGCCTTCCCAGTGTTTGAGCCCACAATGCCCAACTCAGTCTGGGTTTTCTGCTCATTGATCCTTTAACTTTTAATAAACTTTTAAACCTCTAATTTCTATCTATTTGCAAAGCCTACCATTATATAATTTCCAGTGATACTGAACCATTCATTTCCCTGTATTTATTGAGCCAATATAGTCTTTGTGTTCTCCAATAGAGATCTTGAACGCAGTAGTGACCCGAGGCTTGATTTAGTATTCGAACTTAACTTCCTATCTCAGCAAAGTCATAGAATCTGTCACAATCGTCTGAGGGTTGGACAAGTTATATACACGCTTGCTTGTTTTGAGATCACGTGTCTACATCAGTAAAAGTTCCTACTTCTTCGGTCATGTAAATACATACTATATTATGAGGTTTAGTGCTCTACTACTGAGTTTTAGAGTTGCTGGCGGGAGCGGAAGCTGCCGCAGCGTTAGGCATTCTCTGTGCTGGAAGACACTACACGCTGCCCCACCTCTCCACCTTCGCTGCCGGGGCCAGCCAAGCGCGTGAGTTGGGCGGGGCTGCGCAGGGGCGCTGCGCACCAGCTCTGTTGCCGGAACTGGCCCGAGCGGCCTGGACGTGCGCGGCCCCGCCCCCGCGGGTGGAAACAAAGGGGGCTCGGCGCGGGGAAAGAGGCGGAGCTCTCCGGCGATCCTGCGCTTGGCTGGCTAGGTTTGTGCAGGCGAGGGGTGGGGCGGGCGTCCGGAACTCAGAGGTGGGAGCCTCTCGAGTTATGTGGTCCAAAGCGTAGCGCCCTGGGTATCGCCTGCGCACGCAGTGCAATCCACTGCGCCGGCGCGGCCCGCGCGGGTCTGCGAGCGCTAAGGGGGTGCAGTGGGGTGGGTGGGGGCGGGGGCGGGGCCCCTCGTGCGGCTGGCGGGCGGGCCTCCGGAGGCCGGGGCGGTTGGGACGGCGGGCAGAAAAGATGGGGCTTCCGAGGCGCTAGCCGGCTCCTTCAGCGCAGGGCGTGGAGCCGTGGTTTTCTGGAGAGGCCCGTGTGATGGTGCCAAGAGGAAGGAAGCGCCGTGACAGCGCCTCAGTCGGAACCCGGGTTCCGAGGCCAAGGACGACCGGGGCCGGCTGCCCTTGCGAGCTGGCCGCTGGCGGGGCGAGCAGTCACGATAGGAGGCGGCGGCCCGGCCCGGAGCGGCGGGAGCAGCCCCGCAGGGCGGAGCCTCCCCTCGCAGGTACTGGCGGTGACGGCCGTTGGCTACCGCGCGAGGGCGGTACTGGCCGCGGGAGGTTGGGAGCCGGCGGGCTGCGCTCGGCGGACGTTTCCCGGCAGCCTGGCGCTCTTTGTTCCCGCGGCGGCTGGGAGCCGGCCCGCCCCTGCCTGGACGAGACGCAGGTGAAATGATGATGTCACTTGGGAGAACTCAGAACCCGGTTGGAGGGGTCCTCTCTCGCGGCCTTCTACCTCCGCGGGTTTCTGGACGGGATCCGTTTTGTTCTCAGTGGATGGAAGTTCTTCCTTTCAGGGCTGAAGAATGAGAGAGGTTGGTTTTTGAAACGGGAGTTTTTCGAGTTACCGAAAGCCAAAGAGAACTATTTTTTCCTCTGTATCATCCAACATAGACAACGCTTTTGTGTCGCAGGCTATTCAGTAAAAGTTAACGTGGTAATTCTTCTACTGTAGAGTTGAGTACTTAAATATAGTCGTTGCTAGCTAGCATCGTATGAGTTGCGATTTCTTTCTTTATACGAGGTGGACGTTGAAATGTATTCAGCGCTCATACACAGTACTTGAAATTAAGTCTACCCAGTACTCCCTGTTTTGTAGATACTATTGTAGTAACATTTACTTATCAAAGTTTCTTTAAATAGCATACAGCTGTATAACCAGAATTTAAGGAATTCCATTCATATTTGAATCACAACCGAAAAATAAAGTAAACTTTTGCTCATTTTGGAAAACACAGCCTAATGGAGAAATCCAACTTACGAGAAAAATGACAAGATCAAACGTATTGGATCTGGTGCGGAAGTACGTAACACTCAAAGATGACAATTTTGAGTTGGAATTCTATCACCAAATTGTCCTCTTGAGATAGTTCCTTTTAGTTTATAAACATGCTAGTGTAATGTAGTTTGTCTTAATAAAACTTGTTCATCCTAAGCCTGTTCATTATAAGGTTCTACTTTAAAGTCAATTCTGTAACTTTCTGTAGGAGTAAGTACTACTTATTCTACAAGAACTGGAGGACTTAAGGATAGTGTTAAGTTCTGCTCCCAAGAGGTTTTGTCCTCACAATCTCTGTAAGTTATGAAAGAATTGTATTTAAATATTCTTATTCTTCACTAGTGGTGTCTTACATTATCCCAAAAGGTAGTTGTTTGTGTTTCTACGCTTGTTGAAGTTTATGTCCGTCATGATTTAAAAAAAAAAAAAACGTTTTTAACAATAAATATGTGTGGACAACTTGCCCTGTTTGGTTGGGTACCTCTACCTTGTGGGTTCTGGAGGTTGATAAGTCTCCAGCTTTGCCGAAAGTACCTTCACCTGCTGAGGCATTTCATCAGGCCCGATCCTTAACTAAGTTGGTAAATATTAATCTGGGTATGTATAAAGACTTTTCTTTACTAGAGCAATCTGATTTTTGACAAAAATTGAAACAAATCGGTGTTTAAGGGAGTCTGTAAGCATCATAATAGATCTATTGTCCCTCTTTGCCCCAGCATTGGATAAGTCTTTTAGTTAACTTGTTTAGTTAACATTGCCAGGCACTGTGATTATATTTTTACTTAAGTTAATACAGGTGAGAAGTCTTCAAAGTAAAAATCTCCAAAATGGCTAGATACTTGAGCAGTGTAGAAAGACCGTTGGTCAGGATATTTATCTTTAGTTCTGTTTCGTGTTTGTGCTGCCATTAGTTTGGAGCACTGTTTTGCAGTCTCTCTTACTGGAAAGGTGGGTAGTTCTTGATTAGTCTTGATTGTTGCATAGTGTCTCTTGGACTGCTTACACATTTTCTGCTTGTTTTTCAGTTAGGTGCATATACGAATATTAGCTTTGCTTCATTCATAGATTGCTTTCAGTTTCTCTCCAGGGAACATAAGCATTTCAGCATTAATTTATACATATAGTTCTGGTTCTATTCCATCTATCAGAAGATATTAAATACCTGTTATGACATTGACTAAAGGAACTAAATGATTGAATTCTTTGTAAAAATGAAACAGAAATGTAAACAAATGAAGTACGGGGTGATCTACACTGTGTCATTTCCTTCCAGTTTGTCCATACTAATTAGTTGTGCCTCGCTTCTCTTCCTTACCCTTGTGTTATGGAACTCTGGACTGGGGAAAGGAGAGGGAGTAGTAGTCTTTAGTTGTTTTTACCAACTTTGGTTTTGAGTGCCTCCCAAAAGACGTAGATCTATTTAGTTTGTCTTAACTCAAAAATGGGAATAAGTTTTACTTAACACATGTGTTCCAGTGTTCAACAGTAGTGATCACCTTCCCTTAAATACTTAATTTTTACCCCAATTAGTGCCTAGTGATGTCTCAAAAATGGCACACATAAACAAGTGCTAAGAGGTCAGAGGACAACCTCCCATCTTGAGACAGAGTCTCTAGCACACTGTTGCATATACCAGGCTAACTTGACTGGTCAATTTCATGGAGTCTCCTGTCTTTTGCTCTTTTTAATACAGAAGCACTGGGGCTATAGATGCATACTGTTCTTCCTGACTTTATGTGGATGCTGGGGATGGGGGTCTCAAGTCCTCATGCTGGTGAGCCAAGAAATTATCCTGAGCCGTCTCTCAGCACTCCAAGTTTTATTAGCGTGTTTAATTGTGAGCAGATTCATAATAAACTTGTGACATAATCTAGAGAAGCTGACTGTTGTATCATTCAATTAGTTTGGGAGTAGAGTATATTACACTTCTAGGTAATAGTAACAGTGGTAAACACAGATTATGGTTTCTGAACTAAAATTTATCTCAGATTTATGATGTAGCACATGTTTAACCATACTTTTATTTTGTTCTAAACTTCTGTATTGAGACAAGATCTACAGACCAGATGGCCTCATTTCCTGTGTAGCTGATGTTGACTTTGAACGTCTGGCTCTCTAGAGTTCTAGAATTACAGTGTTGTCCTACCATACTACAGCTGTGTAGGAACATTTACAGATTTACAGGATTTTCACCTCTTTTGCTTCAGAGCACATTAGATTTAGCATTTTTGTGATTTTGCTTTTTATTCCACAATTTATTACATTCGTTTATCTCCAGGAAAGGTGGAACTGGGGGAACCATTGTGTTAAATTAAGTCAGACAAATATGGCATGCTTTCTCTGAAGAGAGACAATTAGGGAACAAAGAGTGGGGACATGTAAGACAGGAAGGTGGGCATAAAGCACAACTTATATATGTATAGAAATGTGACAAGCCTAATTTGATTATATCAACAATTTATAATAACTTTGTTGAAAGGATTTCAGAAAAATCCACCAAGAAATAAAAAGTGATTAAGGAAAGAAATTACTGATAAAAATTGTAAACTTAAAATTTTCATTTATCTTATGTGTGTGCCTCACCTTTACCAGGGTGTACATGTGGATCCTAGGGATTGAAGTCAGGTTTCAAGCAACTTAATTTGTAAAAAGTACATCATTTAGTATACTATCCTGGAAGTTGTGGTGCACATCCTTAATCCAAATACCTAGGAGTCTGAGACAGGATGCTTGTGAATTTAAGGCCATCCTCTGTCTTAAAAACAGACAAAAAAGCTGGCACAGAAGACTGTTAAATCTCTCTGCTTCATTCATTTTTATGAAAAAAAAATTAACTGAATATGGTGGAAAGCTGCCATTAGAAACAGTTTTAGAAGGAATAGTGTTTCCTTAAATCCTGTTAGCACAATAGTGCAGCTGTGCTAATCTCTAAGACAAGGATTAAATTGTTATTGATGTTATTAGCTGCCCAAACAGAGAAGTGCCAACTTAAACAGAAAGTATCATAAAGTACTAATGCCCTGATGCTTAAAAGATATATGCAAACATTGGTCTTGCTTTCCAGCTGCACTGGATGAATTTGTCATATAGTTATTTGTAAGCAAACATTAAAAAACAAGTAACCTCAGACTTTAATCCTCACTTTTGGGAGGCAGAGGCAAACATCTCTTGAGTTCAAGGCCAGCCTGAGTTACATAGTGAGACCCTTGGTCAAGAAAACCAACCAACCAAAAACCTTGTATGAGAAGACTTGATATAAGTATCTTTCTTACCTGGCTGGAGCTTATACAATTTACTTGGTTGTTCTCTTTTGAAATCATTGGTTGATATTGATATGGTAACTGCTCCAGTGCCTAGGGCTGCTGTCCCCAGTTCCCTGCTCTGTGGCTCCCTTCTCTCTTCTCTCTTCTGACAGCGCTGTACCTTAGTTTGGAAGGCTGATAGAGAACTTCTCAAGAATGGCTCAGTTCTGTTTTTTAAGAACTTCCTCTGATTAAGTCAGGCCCTCTTAGGATGCTCTCTCTGTTTAACTTAAAATCAACTGTTGGAATCTTGATCACCCTGAGACTCATTCCTACTTTGCCCCCCACCCCAAATCAATGGAATCTGCTCCAAGTATAATGAAGGGAGGATTATACATGAGTGATGAGATTTTATGGTGATATCTTATATAGGAAGTCTGTTTATCATATATTTCACACAAATAAAACTATGAACTTACTGTGAGATCAGTGCTGGTTTCGACCAAGTCCAGCAGTGGTTTGTTACAGATTCTGTAGGACTGGAATATAATTTCTTCTACCATATTATTTGTCTTTAGAGATAATTGGAGTTTCTGACAGAAGAACACTATTGTGGATAGAAAAGATATACTTGAAATCTCTTAGTATGACAAGAGCCAAGGGTGCTAGGGATTTGTTGTTGTTTGTTTTTACTTATGCTGATGGAACTCTTAAATTTTCCAAAGGATCAAAGAGTGAAGAATAAAGCTGACTCTGATTTCTGTTTTGCTAGCCAGGTGCTTGTACTTGTGATTTGTAAAACTGACCATGATTGTTGAAGATAAATGAACTGCTTAAAACACAGTACAGGGTCTGAGAGAGCTCAGCAGTTAAGAACACTGGCCGCTTTTTCAGGAGACTTGAGTTTGATTCCCAGCACCCACAGGCGTCTCACAACTGTATAGAATTCCAGTTCAGGGTATACAATGCCCTCTTCTGATCTTGGGTACCTGGCGCACATGTGCACGATACAGACAAAGCATCTATTTACTTTTTTTTTTTTAAAGATTTATTTATTTTATGTATGTGAGTACACAGTTGCTGTGATCAGATATACCAGAAGAGGGCGTCAGATCCCATTATGGATGGTTGTGAGCCACCATGTGGTTGCTGGGAATTGAACTCAGGACCCTCTGGAAGAGCAATCAGTGCTCTTAACCACTGAGCCATCTCTCCAGCCCCCATTTACTTTTAAAATGGAAAGGAAGGAAGGAAGGAAGGAAGGAAGGAAGGAAGGAAGGAAGGAAGGAAGGAAGGAAGGAAGGAAGGAAGAAAGAAAGAAAGAAAAGAAGAAAAGCCCAAGAGAATTGCAGGCAGAGTACTAACTTGAAGAAGGAGTAGCTCATTTGGAGAGAGTTTGTGACATTCTTTGCTGAATGAAGATCAAGAATGGCAAATATACTTCTAAACTATTTTGAATTTGTTTTATTGTTTTGAGAAAGGACTTCTTACTATGTAAGGCTGGCCTAAAATTTGTAACAGTTCTATCTTAGCCTCTGGAGTGCTATGATTAGAGGCACAAGCTACTTGCAAGGCTAAATGAACTTTTTTCTTTTGCTATGCTGGAAATCAAATTGCCTTTTATTTTCTTATCAATTTAATTATGTTCCAGTACTTTTCTGCTTTATAGTACTTAAATATCATACTGTTGTTGGTTGCTTGCTTCTGTTTTGTCCTGCCCCCTTTGACATTTATTTAATAGGGTGGCACACATTTAAACCATGACACGTGGAGGGCAGAAGACAAACTTCTGGCAGTAAATTCTCTTCCTGTACCCACTATGTGGGTTCCAGGGATCTAATCCAGGTCATCAGACTTGGTGGCAAGACCTTTTACCTACTAAGCCATCTTGTTGGCCCTCACTTTTTAATTAAAATAAGGTCATTGGGATTTTTGTTTTTTAATCTTTATAGCTTAGTTCTTTAACATATATTAACATATATGTATATAATGCTTAGCTTTTAGAAAACAGTAAATATTCCTTCACCTGTGCATACTCATAAGTATAAAGAACATTAGCACATTATGTTTACAATACAGAGATAAACAATAGTTTATATCCAAAATATACTGTGTAGTAAACTAACAAGTATTCCTCTTTATTAACTTCTGAGGGGTGGTAATAGGTCTTTGGCAGTATTTTTATTCTTACCATGTTTATGAGACTTATACCACACCAACAGCAAAGTTACAGAGGGCCAGAGATGATCAAAGCATGCCAGTAGTACAACATTCAATCTTTAATTTCTTCTCTAGCATCTTCTTTACTATCTGCCATACTGAAAATTGTTTCCTTACTATCCTGCTCCCTGCCAGCTATCAGAGCAGAGCACTCAATGTCAGCTTCATCAGAAATTTCCTAAACAGTGATTTACTTGGTCCTTTTTCTTTCCTTTCCCCTTTCTCTCCTTCTTTGATAGCATATACTTGTTAAAGATGGGAAACCATGCCTCTTTCTTTTTTAGTGCTTGTTACCAAGGGGACTTTTAAATCTAAGACTAAGGGAAGAAATGAGACAAAAACTGTAAAATCACAATGTTAAGCACGTTTTCTTTTTTCTTTTTTCTTTCTTTCTTTTTTTTTTTGTATGTGTGAGTGCAAGCAAATCTTTAAACTTGGAGTCCCCAAGGAAGATTTCACTGTCACAATATAGTGAGGAGTGTTGTTCATGCTTTTAAATTGCTACAGATTCACACAAATTTAAGGAGATTTAACTTACAGTCTAGATTTTTAAGCTAAACGTTGTTTCAGACTTATGAGTTTGTCTTCATTTCTTTAGCAGAGCCTCTAGTTTTGTGTTGTTTCCATTACTTGACCTTTTGTTACTGTTTGAGGATTTTCATTTGCTTTTTTTTTTTTTAAATCTTGAGACAGGATCATGATTTCTAGCCCAGGTTAGCTTAGAACTTGGGATGTTCTTGCCTCAGCCTCCCTAGTACTGAATGAATGTAGCTACAGTTTATTGAGTAGAATGGAGAGGCCATCCCTGGTTAAACATAACATATGTGGACATATGTATATGTTGTAAAGTCTTTTAGCTGAAAGTATAGAACTTTTACCATAAATATTGTCAAGTCTTTTTTTTCACCATGGTCACTAAAAGAACAATGAGAAAAAATATAGTGTAGGCAGACATTCATCACTCTACTTGTGATTTTACCTGAAGTCTGACCTTTAGGGGTCACCAAAAAGATTATTATTAGGTATTTGGGGAACAAGAACTTAAATTCCCAAGCTGTGATGTTTTTTATCTCAAACCTTTTTTTGTGTGTGAGAAGCTCCATTGCTAGAGACAGTCTCTGCCTCCTGTATATTTTGATGTTTAAAGTTACTCTTCCCCGCCCCCAAGTATTATCAAACACTAGAAAGCCCAAAGGGTCCTTGACAGACTTGATTCTCCATACTGGTGTGGCTGGCCATGAACTATCCTTTTCTTCTCCCTCTTTTTCCCAGATATCTCCCGGGGCCAATTCAGCACCTCTACCTGGCCATCCTAACAAGGTGATTTGTGAAAGGGTGAGACTTCAGAGCCTGTTCCCTCTTCTCCCAAGTGATCAGAACACTACCATTCAAGAGGATGCTCACTTCAAAGCTTTCTTCCAGGTTCTTATATGTTTACCCTTTCCCTACACAGGGCTGAAAGTCACAGATACATTCTAGCTTGTTTCTAGGAAGGTTTAAACAAGCTTGTGAGTATCCTCTTACTTTCTGTTGTATGTGGAAGTTAACACTCCTCTCAGAGACTTCTTGAAGTTAACTGAGTTTTTCTGAAGAATCTCTTGTCTTGAGCTACTGTTCATTATTTTACCACTTAATACTCTGTTTTAAAAATATTCTTTTGTCTTAATCATTTGTTCTAACCATTCAGTTTCTGTAGATAGAAGATACTAAAATATGTAAGGTGTGTAGGAAAGGAAAAATGAAAGCATTTGTTTGAAGTCATCGCTACTTGCTTAGTGCATAAGGTATTTGTTTTCTGTGTACCTCATAGTACCTATACATAAAAATTTGATTTGAAGAAATTTAATATAAGATGAAAATGAGTACAGATATATTAAAACCATCTTTGGGTTATTAATAACATTACTCGGATTTGCTCATACAAATCACTGGCTATTGAACTTTGACTAGTTAAAGAGAAATACTTAGGATATATTAAGTTTGGCATGTGCTGTGAGTGCCACCTCTAGGTGATCTAGGGCTCTCTTTAGCCTGGTATTCCTTTTAGAATTTGTGCTGGATTCTCTGTTATATGTGTATTATGTGTTACTGTTTTTAAATCTCAAAGTAAACTAGGCATCTTGTACGGAAATAGGCTTTAAAAAGTTCAAGGTACACACTTCTATCCGATTATTTGTAGAGCAAGGGCCTCATCTGATTTTAGCTGCGTTGTGTTTACTATATCACACTACCTTTAGATATTCACATTTCTGTAAATATATTTGTAAGTATTTAGCACATAACTATTTTAGGAGGTATAATTGTCTGTGAGTTGTGTGTCATATTGACTGCTGTTTTGATTACAGACAGCATTGTCTGCACACAGAAGCTCAATATAATTTGGTGACTGATGCTTAAGAAATTTAAAGCCAGAGCTGGTAGCAAGTGCCTTTAATTCCAGCGCTACTGAGCCTGAAGGAGGCAGATTTCTGCAAGTTCAAGATCAACCTGGTCTACATATTGTTCTGAGACTGCCAAGGCTATGTATATAGACCGACCTTATCTCAAAAACACAAAGGAACAAAATTGGAAGGAAAGAAAGAAAGGACAGGAAAGACACTTTAAGGCTGTTTAAACTTTGTGATGTCATGTACCTTTAATCCCAGTGTGGGAAGCAGAGAAAGGCAAATCTATTGAGTTTAAGTCGAGCCAAGGCTATCCTGTATCCAAAAAAAATAAAAGAATTTTTAAAATTGCTAAACAATACACTTAACTACAGACACTAATAAATACTTCTCATTTTCTGTGTTCATATTTTGTTGAAGGCTTCAGGGATGAGTATTAACTTTAAACTTAGTAAATACAAATGCAATAAATTAAAACCCTTGTTTTAAAAATAAAACAATAAAGTTAAAAGTTAGAGCTAATTGTACTGGTATTTTTCTGTTTTGCTTTTTTTCTTCCAAAGCTATTAGCAGTTGAAATGAACCCTTTGCCCATGTTAGTCATATGCTACACTCTCTTAATTAGTCATGTTATATATACCCTCTAACTACTCATGTTTCTCTCTAGTCATATGGTATACCCTAATCCCTGGGGTTTATTGAAAATTAAGAAGTATTTTAATTTTGTTTATAGTGTTAGTTTAGTCTTTTCTCTACCTTTAGAACAAGCCTTTCCACTGTACTCTCCAGGGGAGAGCCAGAGATTTTTCTCTACTCAGTTACTGCCCTGGATAAGAAAATTGATGGGTCTTACGAAGACCTGAGAAATACGGATACAATGACTAATTCTCTGTCAGAATGAGTATCATTTGTTAGTTTCAGCAGTGCCTCTCCCTTTAAAAACTTGGGATATTGTAGATACTACCCAGCATTGCTCAGTGATAAAGAACACTTCCTGTTCTTGCCACGAAGAGTGGAGTTTGCATCCTAGCTCCTACTAAGACAGCTCACAAATGCTTGTAATTCCAGCTGTAAGGGATCTGAAATCCACAGACACATGCAATAAATAAAAATAAAACCTTGTTCCCACATGAGAAGGGATTCTTAGAAAGTCATTCCCTTAGTATAGTCTCTTGACATTGGCTTTTCTCGGATACCTTTTACTTTGCCTTCTTTCTAAATATTTTTCAGTGATTGTGTGTTGCATATTTGCATATGTTTGCACATGCCCCTAAAGCTATAACATGGGTAATAGATGACCCTTTGAGCCACCTATATAAATAATGGGCTCCAAAAGTAATATGTTGTCTTGAATGCCAAGCCATCTCTTCAGCCATTTATTTAATTTGCTTACATACTTACTGTTTTTTTTCTTTTTTTAATATTTTGTTAAAATTTTGAGCCAAGGACTTGCTATGTTCAGCTGGTATTAACAAGTCTCTGTTGCCAGGCTCAACCCTTTTGGATTTCTCCTTTCTCAAAACATCCTCTCTGTTTCCTAGGTGAGGTTTCCATTTTTCAAGAACTCAACTCCCCTGTAGCTTTCTTTAGGCATAAAATAACTATTTTTATTGTAAACATGGAGTTGGACATATGGCTCATTATTAGGACAGCTATAGCAGAAAAAAGTATTGTTCTTTATCCTTACTCTTGTTTCTGATAGCTTTCACTAGCCTAGAGACAAGGCAGCTAAGCTAGGTTGGCAGGGGCCCCTAAAGGTTCACCTGCCTCTGCCTTTCTAGCACTACCATACTTCCCTGCCTGAAGTGATTCTGGGGCTCAAACCCAGCTCCTAAGATTGTAAGGCAAAAACACTTTACTAATTGGGCTCTATCCCTAGCCCAGTGGTTCTTGACCTTCCTCATGTTGTGTCCCTCATGTGGTGACCCCCAACCATCAAATTAATTTCATTGCTACTTCTTTGTTGTTGTTTTGTTTGTTTGTTTGTTTGGTCTTTCGAGACAGGGTTTCTCTGTATAGCTCTGGCTGTCTTGGAATTCACTCTGTAGACCAGGCTGGCCTCAAACTCAGAAATCCGCCTGCCTCTGCCTCCCAAATGCTGGGATTAAAGGTGTGCACCACCACTGCCCGGCTCATTGCTACTTCTAACTGTAATTTTTGCTGTTATGAATCATAATGTAAATATCTGATCGCCAACCCCTGTGAAAGGGTCAATTGACCCCCACAGGTTGAGAACCACTGCCCTAGCCTATCACCAGTGTTAGTGAACAAAAGTTTTTGTCATTTATGACCTTTGGTGATCAGTTGTGTCACTCTTTAACTTTGACGTGCTTTGTTCTTGTTTTCCTTGTGTTGGTGTAGAGGTCAACCTTCTTGTATCTTGTCTTTTGAGATAGGGTCTCACTGGCCTGGATCTCATCACTGGCTGACCAAGGACCCTGCCGTTCCTGCTTGTCACCAGTGCTGGGATTAGCTTTGCTTTTTAAGTGCTTTTTGTGGATAGAGCTCTGTTGACTCACATTTTAAGTTATGGTTCATGGTGGCAGTGGGGATGGGGGGCAGTGGGGTCTCACCATACCGCCTCCCCTCTACCCTCCATTCAAGAAGCAGAAGAGTTGCTCATCTTCCTTCCTTGGTTCAGTCCAAAACCCCAGCCATTATATTTAGAATTGATCTTATTGCTTCAGTTAACCTTACCTAGAAACTTCTCAGACATGCTCATGGGCTTGCCTCTATCCCATCATGATGGGCAAAGGTGGATCTTTACACCTCTCTCAACATAAGCCAATTCCTTCCTTCTTTGGGAATGAAATCCTCAAAAAGTACAATGATTGCTAAAGTCGGGCACATTTTAGTCATCAGAAGCAGCTGGGACCTGCTTCTGCTTCTGTTTATATTCACTGTGAGACCTCATGCATACACCTCCTGCTTTCTTTCCTCCCTTGATTCCCAGTCTGTACCAGTGCTCTGTACAGTAGAAGTAGTAACTGTATGCCTTAACACTTCACACATTTAAATTGTCGGCATTTGATATGTTGAAAACTTAGCCCACTGTTACAGAAAAGAATTCTCCCCCCTGAGAATTCAAAACCAATTTCTTTTAAAAAAGACAGGCCCATCTAATAATTCAGTGGCTTTTGGAGTTTGGTTCTAGCAGCACCAAGTGTCACTGGGAATCATACCTCATAAGTAGCCATTCTTACTGGGTGGGTGGGGCACACCCTTTTAATTCCAGCATTTAGGAGATAAAAGTGGGTAGATCTCTTGAGTTCAAGGCCAGCCTGAGCTACTTAGACACTGTCTTCAAAAACAAAAAAGTATGTAATAGACTACGACATAAATGTGCCTGTAACCGCACACTCAGGACAAGGAAGAAGGAGGATTAGAAGTTCAAAGTCATTCTTCCCTATAGAACCAGTTGGAGGCTGTCTGGGCTACTAGGCAGTAATTTTCTTGCTTTTCTCTATGTACATGGCATATGTGCATATGTGTACATGTGTGAGGGTGATGTGTACATGTGTGAGGATACTCTTAAAGTTTGGGGATTCTCATAAAACCTGGCTTTCTTATTAAAAACAAGTATATTTAACTAATATCATTAAGAGAATATAGGTTAGATGTTATTTTGTTGATACACTTGCTAAATAATTTTGAAATATCAAATGTAACCATTTAGCTTTTTTTTTTTTTTTAAATGTAAGAGATGGGTCTCATGTAGCATAAGCTGGCCTTGAATTCACTATGTGACCAAGGATGACCTCAGATTACCAATCTTCTGGCCTTTGTCTCCCAAGTTCTGGAATTATACTCTAGGTTCAGCTCCATAGATCAGTTTGCTTTGTTCCTAAAATCAGTTGTTTTCTTTGCTTGTCTATTTAAAAATAGGACATTGTTGGGGTTAGAAATTCGGCTTACCTTATCAAAGCACTTGTTAGTCTTACATTGGACTGGGGTTCAGTTTCTAGCCCCCCATATATCTGATAGCCATTTGTAACTCTAGTTCCAGAGGATCTCATAGCCTCCTCGTCTTCACAAGTGTTGGAAATACATGGTGCACAGACATGCAGGCAGAACATCATGCATAAAATAAAAATAAATGTAAACTTAGAGAATCTGTTCACAAATATCAGTTATTTTGTAAACCAATTAAAAGTAATTTAATGGCTAATAATTAAAACTTGGGGGTGTAGATTAGTGTAGAAATAGGAACAGTCTTCCCAACAAAACGTAGCCTTTTAGATTTTCAGTTAATTTGGAATATTGCCAGTTTTGGTGAGATTGAATTAGTTGGGACTCCTGGAGTTAATAGCAGTTACATGGCCGTATAAATTTTATATCTACAAAGCTTGTACTGTGACCTTTTGAATATTGGATGATACTCCCAAAGTGCTATGACATTCTAAAAAGAATTATTGATCTTAATCAGTTGGATTTCCTTTATATAAAATTTGTTTTATCTTATTCATGTAACCATCATTGAAGCAATAACTGGCCTAACAACAAAAATGGTAGAGGTGTGTGGTTAGTATCCGAGGTTGGGGCCTACTCAGGAAAACAAGAGGGCTTCTTCATGACCAAACTCATCATCACTATCTAAAGTGAACTGATAGCTTATAGCATAATGGCATTTCTCAGGATTTAGGAGTTAGGATTTCTAGAAGGTCAGGTACTATATATATATAAGAGTTAGCGCTCTGTTTCTTATATATTGTTATCTAATGGTTTTCAAACAGTTCAATTTTTTTACATGTATATTTACTGTCTATCCCCCTTTTCTCTACCCCTGCCCCTACATTTCTTAATTTAGGATTTTAGTGCAATGCCTATCCTTTGTTTTTTTTTTTTATGAGAAATGCATTTTTTTAACCTGTTGCATATGAAGTAATATAAAATCATTATGGGTTTATTCAGCGATCCTTTTTGTTGCATTGGCAGAGTGAAGATAGTCCAAGTCCTAAGAGACAGCGCCTCTCTCATTCAGTCTTTGATTACACGTCAGCATCACCAGCTCCCTCACCACCAATGCGACCATGGGAGATGACATCAAACAGGCAGCCCCCTTCAGTTCGACCAAATCAACATCACTTCTCAGGGGAACGGTGTAACACACCGGCACGCAACAGAAGGAGGTTAGTCAACCACTGTTTATTTCTTTACTTCTACTGGTGGATTTTCTGACAAAAATATGTCAAAGTATATTTTTGTAGATATTTCATAAATATGGCAGTACCTGCACACGCACACACACACATTCATGCATAAAAATTAAAAGTTGTTTAGGTTTCTATCTTAGGTTATAAAGAGTTCATTAAGCTGCTCATGTGTAGAAACTGAAAGTGTAGAAACTGAAAGAGACTGAAGTGATTTTCCTAAAGTGAATCGTGGCCATTATATATAAATTCACCTGCCTTATGATTTAGAACAGATTATGGAGCTGGAATATAACTTAAAGGTAAATTATTTGCCTAGTATCCATAAAGTCCTGTGTGGACATAATATTATTGTACACTGTGTAAAGATTATCCTTGCATTATTCTGTTTTTTTTCTGTTTTTTTTTTTTTTTCTGTTTTTTTTTTTTTTTTTTTTTTTGGTTTTTTCGAGACAGGGTTTCTCTGTGTAGTCCTGGCTGTCCTGGAACTCACTCTGTAGACCAAGCTAGCCTCGAACTCTTGAACTCAGAGATCCGCCTGCCTCTGCCTCCCAAGTGCTGGGATTAATCCTTGCATTATTCAATTGCTGACTTTTCTGCCCCCGTATTTGGTTGTAGTGGGGGACCTGGCATTGTAATGCTTATTCTAAGCCTCTCCTGGTTGTTGTATAAACACTGCTCCCCATTTATCTCTGATCTGTCAATAAAAGCTGATCAGCCAGTGTCTGAACAGGGGAGAGAATAGAGTTGACTTCTGATGGGAGGGAGGGTAGCATTTCACCTTGAAAAGGCATCTGGAGCAGTACTAAAATCCAAGTATCTTGGAGGTTTTGGCTGGGAGGTAGCAAGATTGGCTAGAGGATTATTAGAATAGAATAATAACTACTTGGATATTATGCTGTAAAGCTTGGTTAAATAAATCTTACAGTCTCTGTCTCATTTATTTGGGAGCTAGATGAGATTAAAAAAATTCACTTTTTAAATTTTTATATCAGTCTTGTGTTCAGTACCCCCAACACACAGCCCTTCTTATGGGCTAGTCTACAGTCCTGGTAGTTGAAAAATGTGTTTTATACCTTATAAGATATATATGATATATACCATATCAGAGCTTAGAGATGACCTGCGTCTGCCCTTCCAGCGTTGGCATCCTTAAAGAGCTGTATTTCTTTTTTCTTTTTTTTTTAATTTTTCATATTTTTCTTTTCTACTCATAACTCAGAGCACAGATGGCAAGAGTATAGGTAGTAATATAAAATAACAGCTGATTTTAAAAAGTAACAATATATTCAGCCATAAATTAAAGAACGAGTTTTATACAACGCATGAAACATCATTATATAACTTATAAAATCCAGATGGTGAGTGAGGTGTCGGTAACAGATGTACGGTTTTAAGAAGTCTTTTGCTGAGTTGCCCAGTAGTGGATAATTATCATAGCTTTTCCAAAGGATCTAATCCAAACTAGGCGTGGTCCAGCACACCTGTTAATTAGTATGTGGGAAGTAGACTCAAGAGGATGAGTTCAAGGCCAGCCTGCTACATAACAAGTTTGAGATCCTGAGCTATCCAAGACCCTATCTCCTCCAACTAAAAAAGCAGACAATAATGACCCTAATCCAGGGAACTTAACTTGAGGCCTTTAAGGACATTTTGGAGACACCAGAAAAGCAGTTACAGAAAAAAATTGCAACCTATCTGGAGAAAAATTCTTAATCTAGTAATTAATGCTTGCCTATAAATCAGTCTGTCTTACACAGCTGATGCTATAGTACGGATCTGAACTCTCCCCACAAAGGCCCAGATGTTAAAAGCTTGCTTCCTTGCCTGTGGCACTATTGGGAAGCTATGGAAACTTTAGGCCAGCCCAGTGTGAGGTTTTAAGGCATTAGGGGTGTGCCCTCAAAAGGAGCTGAGAGAAGAGCTGTATTTCTAACAAAACTGGTGTGAATTTCATCTTTTGAAAGGTGTGTGGTGCTTGCCTTTCCTTCTCAGAGGAGTTAATTTCTTCCTCAATTCGTTGTCCTTTAGTTGCCAGAAATCACTTTATTTCCAGAAAATCAGTGTGGCAGGGCAGTGGTGGTGCACGCCTTTAATCCCAGCACTTGGGAGGCAGAGGCAGGTGGATTTCTGAGTTCGCGGCCAGTCTGGTCTACAGAGTGAGTTCCAGGACAGCCAGGGCTACACAGAGAAACCCTGTCTCAAAAAAAAAAAAAACAAAAAAAAAGAAAGAAAGAAAAAGAAAGTCAGTGTGAGTTGAGGTACCTGTTTCCACGTATACAGTAATCGTAGTAGTAAGAGGAATAAGTAAGTTATGAAGTTTATAGACTAAATGGTTTTGTGTCTCTACACAAAGTACTCATGTAGTGAAGCTTTAACCGCCATTAGGATTGTCATTGGAGATGGGACTTTCTAAGGAAGTTGTTGAGGTTGAATAAGGGAATGAGGATGGGGCCCTTGTCTAAAAGGGTCTGTGTTTCTATAAGTAGGGACATCAGAGCCCACTCTGCCATATACAGACATGACGATAATGCAGAGTGTCTGCAAGCCAGGAACAGAGTTCTCATCAGAACTCTCAGGTCAGTTACACCTTGATCAGAGACTGGTAACCCTAGAACTTAGAGAGAATAAAGTCCTATTTAAGGCATCCAGCTTATAATGTTTTGTTACAGCATTCTTAGAAGATTGGATATGATCTTAAAAACCACCATTGATATCCCAAATTAGCCAAAATAAACTGTCAGAGTTAAGCTTTCTTTAGACACTTAACACTTTTTAAATGTCCAGTATTATATATATTAGGCAACTATATGGAAATGTCTGAGTAATTTGTGACTACCAGTATGTGGAAATAGGATTTTTTTAAAAAAATAAAAGTTATAGCTTAAATATCTGGTTGTTTATAGTCTTTTCCTGTTGTATGGTGAACTGTTATGCATTCTTAACATGTGAGACAAATGTATGATCAAAAGGATAACATGGTACCAACTCCTAGGTTAAAACTGGCCTCATACAACAACTCTGAAGTATGCACTCATGCACCAGCCCATCCTTTCTTCCTTCCAAGGAAGTAAACTTGTAGTTTATGGATCCCCTGTTCATTGTGGTTTTGAATGCCTATATATTCTTAAACAGTACGGTTTGGGATTTTGCTTTCATTTAAGTGTATTCTTTGTTTGTTTGTTTTGTATTCTTTGTTTTTTAATCATAGACTGCTTATGTTTAATGTTGATGGAAATAGATCATTTATTTTTGAAATTTACTTACTTTTATGTGCATTGGTATTTTGCTTCCATGTATGTCTGTGTGAAGTATTAGGTCCCATGGAACTGGAGTTACAGACAGTTGTGAGTCCTCATATGGGTGCTGGGAATTGAACTCTGGTCTTCTGGAAGAACAGTGTTCTTAATCACTGTGTCATCTCTCTATCCCAGCAATTATTTTTACTGTGATACAATCTTACATTAAAGTATGACAATCTATCCATCTGCTGTTGGCTTAAATAGTCATGTCCAGGTTGTTAGTACTATAAGGAGTACTACTAGGAACCTTTGAACACACACCTTATTTAAATGTGCAGAAGTTGTATTAGGTATAAGCCTAAAATAGGAAATGGATGGCAGGGTGTGTTTACAGAGGAGATAGAAACTGGCTTTTCTTTCTAAATCTGCAAAAAGAATCGTACTTTTCACTTATAACAGTACAAAGAAGGAGCAGGGGATGGATACTTAACACTCATAAAACAGTAGTAGGAATTACAACCCAGCAAATATCTACCCATGATTCCATACCAGTGATCATCAACTAAGTGAATGAAGGAGAAGAAAGTGCTAACTTGGGCTGGCAAGATAGCTCAGTGTGTAGAGTGCTCTGATCCCCAGGACTCACACAGTAAAAGGAAAGAAATTCCCTCTGATCTGCACAAACACATCGTAGCATGCCTCACAATCCAACCCCCCCCCCAAAAAAAATTTTTTTTTTAAAAAAAAAGGAGTAGTAAATTTTCCTTATGAAACAATTCTATTAATGAGTATAGAAATGAAGGTAATAGAAAATCCCTATCAGAGTAACATTGTAGCTATCCTTGCAAATCCAAGCTTGTTAAAAATTACTGGTGAGTTTTATAGTTAAGTTTGTTGGGTTTTTTTTTTTACAATTAATTTTGAACCATAACAGTTATTTATTGCTTGTACTTACCTTAGCATGTGTGCCTGTGCTTGCATGTGCGATCTTACACACACACACACACACACACACACAATAATAAGAATCCTGATGGATCATACTAATAAGCATTATAGTAATGACCTTCTTTTTGGCATTTACCCTATTATAGTCCTCCTGTTAGGCGTCAGCGAGGAAGAAGGGAACGTCTGTCTCGACACAATTCCATTAGTCAAGATGAAAACTATCACCATCTCCCTTATGCACAGCAGCAAGCAATAGAGGAACCTCGAGCTTTCCACCCTCCGAATGTATCTCCCCGTCTGTTACATCCAGCTGCTCATCCACCCCAGCAGAATGCAGTCATGGTTGACATACATGATCAGGTACAGTAGCAGAATGTCCTGGAAATACAAGTGTTAAAAGCTAATGGTTTATTAGGATCCACTGATTTTGTTGTTGTTGTTGATGCAGGTTTCTCTAATTCCTGAAATGTGTCTTATTTAAGTTCTTCATTCCTTTTAATAATGGTCAGGTAGCCAGGGCTGTGGCCCATCCCTGGGATCGCAGCAGGTCTCTTGAGTTTGAGGCCATCTAGGGCTACAGTTAGACATTGTCCCAGTGAATGAATGAGAAAATGAAGGAACATGAGATGAGCAGTGTTATTTTGAAGAGTACTTCAAAGAATTGTATAAAGAAAATTATAAAACATTGTTGAGAAATTTAAGAAAACCTGTGTAAAAGACGAGTAGTTGGCTTGAAAAATCCAGTTTCATAAAGCCTGTCAGTTCTCAAGTAAAGAACTAGTATAGAATTAATACACTATGCAGAATTAGTGTAGTCCTAAATAAAATTACAGTGGATTTGAAAAGTTGATCCTGATTTCTATGACAGTATATTTTTTAAATCTATAATTGAAAGCAAGCTGTTGCTAGTTGTTTTTTAAAAGTTTTGCTGGGCAGTGGTGGCATACGCTTTTAATCCTAGCACTTGGGAGGCAGAGGCAGGTGGATTTCTGAGTTCAAGGACAGCCAGGGCTACACAGAGAAACCCTGTCTCGAAAAACAAAACAAAAAAAAAAGAAAAGAAAGAAAAGTTTCATCCCTACTCATCCATCTCAGCAACTTTATTCTGTCCACAGGGTCTAGCTTACAAACCTAAAGGACTACTTTTTACCTTGTCTTTTAAGAAAAAAAAATCATGGACTTAATCCTTGGCATAAAGCCTCAAGCAAATGGTTCTCTGATGCCTTTTTTTTCTTTTTAATGTATGGTGTTTTGCCTTCATGTATTTCTGTATACTGTGTATATGTCTGGTGCACAGTGGAGGGCAGAAAAAGGTGTCAGTTCTCCTGAAACTGAAGTTACAGCTAGATAGTTGTGAGCTACCATGTGGGTGCCAGAATCAAACCTGGGTCCTCTGCAGTAGCTCCTAACCACTGAGCTGTAAATAGTTTTTATTGGCTGAGTAGAAAAAGCAGCACCATTTAAAAAATGCCAGTTCAGAGCCACTGAGATGGATCAGTCTTTGCTGGGTTCAGTCTCCAGGACCTACATAGTGGTAGGCAAGAATCAACTCCTAAAGGTTGTCTTTTTATCCACACACAACCATATACAAGCTGTTTATTTTTAAATGCCAATTTACAGAGTGTATAGTAGACTTAACTGAATCAGACCCAGCAATATAGGTTAATAGACTTTCTAGGTAGTTGAAGTGTATATTTCAATTAGCCACTGTTGCATAATCCTGAGGAAAAAAACAACATAAGCAGAAACAGCAATTCAGCTTTTCCAGCAGGACTGGGGATTTAAGGCCCAAGTCTTGAATAAAACCAAGGCTTTGTTGTGTCTAAGCCAAGCATCTAACCACTGAGCTAAGCAGCATTTCGCATTTCCAGTTTTATTTCCAATTTGTAGGCCTTAATTAAGGCATCTATGCCATAGTCAGTTAGGCTAAAGAAATATAAAAGCTTAGAAATAAGAAGACACATCTGTGAATGTTTTTTATTTGGTATATGGTGATGGTTGAATTTGGAAGATGACAGAGTCCTTATTAAATGATGGTAAAACAATTAGGAAGTTTATGAATAGGTTCATTCCCTTCAGAAGGAAGGGCTTTCTTAGAACACATAAAAAGTAAACAAAACTAGTGGCACATGTATGTAATTAAAACTTTTTAATTTCATTGCTCTTTGTCAGACATATGCTATTTAATTGCTTGGCCAGTTGCCAAAATAATTCATAAAAGAGGAAGGAAGGTCTTTAGCACTGATGCAGTAATGACTCAATATCCATATGAGTGAGTTTGAACTTCTGCTCTATCTCACCCACAGAAGTTAGATCAAGTAAGGTTGGGATGTACCTCAGCTGTGCTGCCTAGCCTACAAGGTGTGCTCTCCAGCACCCAACCAGATGATGGAGCACCCAGGAAGGGGAGGCTGGTGTATCAACAGTTCAAGGTCATTTTCTGCTATATAGAGTTCAGGACTATCCTGAACTAGAGACTAAAACAAAATCTTCAAAATCTTCAAGTTAGAGTTTAGATATGTATTAGAAAGATAATGCTATTAGCACAACTGATTGTTTTTATTAAGTAGGAAGTATTTTAGTTTTAATTAAAAAAAAATTTATACTTTATTCGTGTGTGTGTGTGTGTGTGTGTGTGTGTGTGTGTGTGTATGTATGTGTATGAGTGATTTTGTCTGTGTGTATGTATAGCAGATGTATACCTAGTGCCTGCCAAGGTCAGAAGAGGGTGAAGGATCTTCTGGAACTGGAGTTACAGGTGGGTGGTGGGAACTGAACCTGGGTCTTCTGCTAGAGCAGCAAGTGCTTTAAATTATTTAGCTTTCTTTCCAGTTCCAGCAAAGATTTCTAAATATATGTGTATAAGGAAGTAGCCACACTTGACAAAAGTGGACTTCATTAAGATAAAAATAAAATGGCTTTCAAGGTGGCTCAGCAGGTAAGACACATAGTGCAAAGTCTAACCACCTAAGTTCAGTCCCCAGAGCCCACGAGGTGCAAGGAGAAAACAAAGTCCTGCAAGTTGTCCTCTTGGTTTCTGAGTGCACCATGTGTGTTTGTTTCCAAATATAGACACATGATAATAATAAGGGATAAGGAGATGGCTCCGTAGATTCTGGGCCTGCCCCACAACTTTGAGGAATGGGATTGAGATGCACATCAGTTATGTAAGATATCCATAAGAATCAGTTGAGCAGAGTGGACTGCCTTTAGTCCTTGAGGTGAGGTAGCAGATGGCTGGGACAAGCTACATCAAGCTGAAACAGAGAGCCCCAGGTCAGCAAACATGGTTTTGACAAAGTAGAAGATGGGCAATCAGCAAACAGTGAAGGCTGTGGAAAAGAAAGTCTACCAAAATTCTCTAGTAAGAGAAATGCAGATGTAAATCAAGCATGCTATATACCATTTCTCACTGATTGGCAAGCATGTTAGTAACGCCAGTCTTTGAGGAGAGATGCTAGGAATTGGGTCCTTTTACATCACTTTTGGAGTTTGATCTACTTTTAATAAAGCCTTTTCAGGTGATTAGATGGTACCGTTAAAAAATTTGAACATGGGGACGGAGAGATGGCAGAGGCATTCTTGCAGAGACTTGAGTTTGGTTCTTAAGGACCTACTTTGGAAGGTTCAAAACTGACATGACCCCCAATTTGTAGGAATTCTGACAACCTCTGGCCATCACCGGCATCTGCACATAAACTCACACAGACACACACATTACATATGCATTCAAATGATAAATAAATCTCTCTTTTTGTTTTGTTTTTGTTTTTAAGATTTATTTATTTAATATGAGACCACTGTAGCTGTCTTCAGACACACCAGAAGAGGGCATCAGATCCCATCACAGATGGTTGTGAGCTACCATGTGGTTGCTGGGAATTGAACTCAGGACCTTTGGAAGAACAGTCAGTGCTCTTAACTGCTGAGCCATCTCTCCAACCTCAATCTCTCTGTTTTTTAAATCTGAAATGTATCCCCATCTTTTCACCCAGTATGCTTTGAGATAAATACTACTACTAATATAAAACAGTAAGTTGTGTTCGTAGTTGCAGAAGAGTAATGGCAGTTGTTGTGAACCTAGTACAACAAGTATGCTTGAAATATCTGGTTAATCTCAACGAGGGGAAGGCAAAGCTGCAGTATTGGGTGGAAAAAGGAGGTTGGTCTTCCTTGTATTCTATGCTGGGTGCTGGTGATGGAGCCCAGGGCTTCGAGCAAGCACGCTTACACTGAGCTCTGTCCCTAACCCAGATTTAATATTAAATGCCACTTTCATTGTTCCCACCTGTTCCAACTGAACAAACACACACATGCTTTGGTATAGAGAAAGGGCTCAGCTGAGAGCGCTGGCTGTTACTGAAGAGGACTCAGGTTCAATTCCTAGCATCCAAATGACAGCTAACAATCACCTGTAACTAGTTCTATGGTAACCGTTGCCCTTTTCTGGTTTCTATGGGCACTCCAATTGCATGATCTACAGGCAGGAAAAACACCCATTCACATAAAACAATCAGAATAAATCTTTGAAAAATTACAAGTTTTAATATTTTCAAAAGCTATATTTTTAGGAGTATTGCTCTACAAGGCAGGCTGAAAGAGTTAACATACCAGTAATTTTTTTAATTATTAATTCATTGTGAATTTCACATTGCACCCCAGTTCCACTCATCTCCCTGTCTCTCCATATCTAGCTTCTGCACTTGCTTGCACTCCCCCCCCCTTCTCTCTCTCTCACTGTCTCTCTCTCTCTCTCTCACTGTCTCTGTCTCTCTCTCTCTCTCTCTCTCACACTCTCACACACACACACACACACACACACACACACACACACACACACCCCAAGAGCACAAAAACAAAAAAATCATCTCATGGAAGCTGCAGTGTGTCACTGTTTGTCACACAGTATGTCTTTTTGCCCAAACAGCTTCATTGCAATGAGTCATTGGTCTGGTTAGAAGCTTCTGATTTCTGCCACACTTTCAAAACTGGGTCTTCTCTGGGACTCCTCTTGGATATGCTATTATTGCCCAGTGTCATGAAGCTCCAACAGCTGTGGTTCTGTAGGACTGGCCCCTTTCAGAAGTTTATACATGGAGTAGATCTGTGCCTGGGTAATAGATAAGTTGTTCTGCCTGCCAGCTCTCCTGCACCAGGACCACCAGGGTGAGCTCTCCCACTTTGCCCAGGTGAGGGGCAGGACTGGCTGGCTCTTCAGCGCTCATACCATCAGGGCCAGCTTACTGTGCTGCCCAGGTGAGGTTTGGCACCAGCTCTGCTCAGCCCTTGGACATCAGTATGGCCCCAGGTGGCAGCCCAGACCGGGGACATACATTTGGACTTTGGTAACACAGGTGCTCTTCACCATCTCTAGCCCCTCTTTTTCAATCTTTTAATTCTGTGAGAATAGTGTATAATCTTCATAGAGTTGTCTTTCTTATGCAAAGACTGTAAATATTCCTATTGAATCTACTAGAGGGAGCAAGGAATGGTGTCACAGACCTATAATTCTAGCACTTGGGAGAAAGCAGAGGGTTAGGAATTCAATGCCATTTTTGGCTACATCATGAGTCAGAGCCTAACTTGAGCTAGGTTAGACTGTTTAAAAAAAAAAGAAAAAAGAAAAAAAGAACACTGCGAAAGTACAGTATGTAAACAGGGCAATCAATAAATCTGTTTAGCCCAGGCTTTTAATGTACTATGTAAATAAAACACCTTGAATTTCTGATGCTTTTGGTTCCCCCTCCCAGTGCCAAGGTTACATGAATGCACCACCATGCCTGGTTCAAATGGTGCTGGGGTCATACCCAGGACCTCATACCAATTGATCTACTTCTCCAGGCCCTCACATCTTAACTTTAAAAATAGGTAACGTTTTCTCAAAAGTTCTACTTTTCTTCCCTAAAAGCTCCATCAAGGAACAGTTCCTGTTTCCTACACGGTGACCACAGTGGCGCCCCATGGGATTCCACTCTGCACCGGCCAGCACATCCCTGCCTGCAGTGCACAGCAGGTCCCAGGGTGCTCTGTTGTTTTCAGTGGACAACACCTCCCTGTCTGTAGTGTGCCTCCTCCAGTAAGTCTATGTCTTTATTCTCAGTTGATTTTAACTATTTAAAATAAGTATGCCAGCCTGTGTTTTTTTTTTTTTTTTTATGACTTAAGTCTATAATCCCTGCTTAGGCTAGCTAACAGACAAAGTTTAAAAACTGTCTTTGTAGCTTCACTTCCAACAAAAAGATAATTTTACTATAATAAAGGTCTCAGCATAATTATAGTGACCACTAGATAAAGTTAGCCTTAAAGTATAATACATTTTATTTACAGTGATTAAAGTATATACATTTAAGTGTCTTAAACCATATTTCTTCCTATAAAAATAGTTTGTAATTAAACATTAATAAATGTTTGTGTTAGACTTAGTAATGTAGCATTCAGCAGATAGCCATCTTAGCCCTTACTGAGGCTTCATTAGGGTCTCTTGAGTGACAGTCTGTAAACTTGATCTGGAAGGTAAAATTACTTGCTTAGTGCTGTGGGGACATTGAGATTCATTCTACATGTTTTTCCCTGTAGAGCTTACATTTTAGCTTGTAATATTCTGACTCATAGTTAACTTTCTTAACAATGAAGTGGTTGAGATCCAGAGGGTCTCAGTAACATATCTTCAGAGGAAAGCACTTGGAAAAAATCTAAGTATAAGTTTAACCCTCTGGTCTACCTGTGAGGTTAAAATAAACATACGTGTATCAATGTAATAATTAAATGACCCAAGCAGGTCTCTCGGGAGCAGAGTGAAGCATTGTGTGATATTTACCAACTGACACAGTGAGAGGACAGTAAAGAAGAGCTTCTTCTGCACAGTGCTCCCTCTCCTTAAACGACAGGCTAAACTGTGAATTCTTACTTATAGATAGAAAAATATTCCAGTACTTAATATAAGTTACATATTTTGTATGAGTTGGTGTGGCAATTTGATTCATAACTTTTTCAAGAATATTTTATATTCTGGCATTTTTAACCTAAAAGAAATGTTTTTTTTTTTCTTACAGATGCTTCAGGCATGTTCAGTCCAGCACTTACCAGTACCATATGCTGCGTTCCCACCCCTCATTTCTAGTGATCCGTTTCTTATACATCCTCCTCATCTTTCTCCCCATCATCCGCCTCACTTGCCACCACCAGGCCAATTTGTCCCTTTCCAAACACAGCAGTCACGATCGGTACGTATTTCTCTTTATGTTTCTAGTTTTTCCGGAATGTTTAGATTAGGCTAGTTTAGTAAATGTAAATAATTTCCATTTAAGCATATGACATTGGTATTCTTATATAGCTCTTGAAAGAATTAAAGGGACTTACAAATAAGTTAGTTTAAACATACTTTTCAGTTACTTTCAATTTTAAATAATTTATTTTAAATTTTTTCCTTGTTATTTTAGTATTACTTACCTTAAGTGAATTTTATTATTTCATATCTGCAGTCTCTCAGGCACTTTGAAGCAAAGGAAACTTCTTCCCTAATTGGTACTAGGGTTTTTTTTTTTTTCCTATTTTATGTATTCTAATGATTTTTTAAGTCTATTCTTACTTGTGTGCACTGTATAGTTGAGGGGAAGGAGTGCATGGCATATAGAAGTCAGAGCACAATTTCATGGAGTTGGTTTTCTTCTACCTTCTATGTGCATTCAAGAACTGGAACTCAGGTTGCCAGGTTCTCCAGCAGGCACCATCTGAGCCATTTCAATGTCTCATTCATGTATTTCTAAATTGAAAGGTTGGAAACCTTTTAATTGTCCGTACTTAAACTTTTAAAGATGAGGAGAGGGGAGAGAGAATGTGTGTATACATCACGTGTCCCCATATGTGCATGTGCGTATGGAGATGAGAAGAAACGTCAGTGCCTCCTGGAGCTGGCATTTCAGTCTGTTGTGAGCCACACTGTACAGGTGCTGGGAACTGAATTTTGCCTGGAAGAGCAACCTCTTAGTTATCTCTGTAGCTAGCTCTGTTCTTCTCTTCTCCCTCCTCCTTGTCCTCCTTCCTTTTCTCATTTTTTTCCTCTTCCTTCTTTTATTGGTTAGTAATGTTTTTTGAAACGGTCTCCTTTAACCCAGGTTTGGGAGACATTATTATGCAAAAGAAGCTTAGAGTGAGTCTACCTATTACACCATTTAAGAAAACAAAGTACAGTGTGCTTTATAATCATTGCTTGCATGGTGCTCACAGTACATTAGGTTGGAGTCTCTCTGGAGTCTCTCAGGCTGTCCTCAAACAGTCCTCCTCCCTTTACCCCAAGTGTTAATAAACACATTATAGGTATATGCTAGGATGCCTAGCCATAGTACACTTCTGAAGTAAGCTAGAAATAGGTCAGTTTTGTAAGTCAGAATACTTAGAATTGGTCTAAAAGTCACATACTGATTGACACCAGAGCCCACGAGTTTTGTTTTTGTACTGGAGTGAAACTTGTACTGTACCATGCCCCATTGTTCTACTTTTGACATACACACATACCATATGCTTGTTCTTCAGGGAGGCTCAGTGTCTGAAATTCTCTGTTGATCAGGGTATTGTGATAACTGAAACTTTTAACTTCCATATTTAACTTGCTATGATTTTTCCTCTCCCATTTTGAAAGCTTGAGTATTAAAGGACATGTATACTCTTTTTGCCCCATCTACTGAGAGAATTAAGACCATTCTCAGCAATCAGACTGTCGACATTCTGGAAAATGTCGACATCACTCTTAAGGGGCACACCGTCATTGTGAAGGGCCCCAGGGGAACTCTGTGGAAGGACTTCAATCACATCAGTGTGTAGAGCTTGAGTCTTCTTGGAAAGAAAAAGAAGATGCTCCAGGTTGACAAATGGTGGGATAACAGAAAGGAACTGGCCACTGTCAGAACCATCTGCAGTCATGTTCAGAACATGATCAAGGGTGTTACACCAGGCTTCCGTTACAAGATGAGGTCTGTGTGTGCTCACTTCCTCATCAACGTCCTTATTCAGGAGAATGGGTCTTTGGTTGAAATCTGAAATTTCTTGGGTGAAAAATACATCCACAGGGCTCAGATGAGGACAGGTGTTGCTTGTTCTGTCTCTCAAGCCCAGAGGATTAATTAATCCTTGCAGGAAATGATATAGAACTTGTATCAAATTTAGTGGCTCTGATTCAGCAAGCTACAACAATTTAAGATATTAAAAAAAGTTTTTGGATGGCATCTATGTGTCTGAGAAGGGAACTGTGCAGCAGGCTGACGAGTGAGGCCTCAGATTCCTAGCTCCAGAAACAAGATCTTGATCACAAATACAATTTGGGCTCTTTGAGGACAATAAAGGACTTACATATTAGGAAAAAAAAAAACAAAACAAAACAAAGGACATGTAAACTATACTAGATGATGCAAATGCTAATGTGTAAATAAGACAGACTATAATTAAAGGTAGGAAATCTTGGGTCCACTTATTTTTTTTAGTTCGATGTATCAACAATGGACTTGAAAACATTGTTTAAAAAAAAAAACAATTTTTAAAAGCATTGGGAGTAATGCTGATTTCTCCTCTCTCTCCCCTCCTCCCCCCCACAGCCTCTGCAGAGGATAGAAAATGAAGTGGAGCTCTTAGGAGAACATCTTCAAGTAGGCAGTTTTACTTATCCCCCTTCGGCCCATCCCCCAACATTACCTCCGTCAGCTCCTTTGCAGTTCCTGACACATGACCCTTTGCATCAGGAGATGTCCTTTGGAGTAGTAAGTCTTCATTCATTGTTAATACTCATTTAATTGTTCGACAACTTATTTTGAGTTTTCAGAATTCATGTGTTCTTAAAATCACTTGCATGTGTGTTTTATCCTGGTTGTATTAAAGAACTAGTTAATGCAACTTAAACAGTAAGTTTTTTAAAAAGCAGCTATCAGCTGAGCATGATAGCACAGACCTGTAATCTAGCACTAGGAAGGATTGCTGTAAGTTACGAAGGCCAGATTGGTCTACAGAGCAAGATCCTGGCTGCTCTGGGCTAGATAGGAAGACCTTGTCTTAGAAAGAAAGCAAGTTGACTGGGCTGAAGAGATGGCTCAACAGTTAAGAGCACTGACTGCTCTTCCAGAGGTCTTGAGTTCAATTCCCAGCAACTACAAAGTGACTCACAACCATCTGCAAATGGGATCTGATGCCCTCTTCTGGTATCTGAAGAGAACAATAGTGTACGTACACACACACACACACACACACACACACACACACACACACACAGAGTAAATAAGTCTTTAATAGGGGGGAAAAAGCAAGTTGAATTTTATTCTAGACTTGGGAGGCAGAAGCAAAGGCAGTTGGAGCTCTGAGTTGGAGACTTGCCTCGTCTACATAGTGACGTCCAGCACAGCTGGGGCTATGTAGAGATAACAAAAAACATGATCAACAAAAACAAAAAGCCATGTTGGGGCCAGCAAGGGTGTCAGAGGGTAAGGGTGCTTGCCATGTAAGCCTGGCAACTCCGGGAGGAGGGAAGCAATGGCATCGACTTGTCCTCTGATCCTCACATGCATGCTGTAACATGTACACCTGTCTATACATCATGCATATACAATAATTTTTTTTAGTTTAAAAAAAAAGTAGATTATTTGACATTGATTATAAACATAGAATGATCATTTTCAACCTTACCCTTCTACAGCCTTATCCACCATTTATGCCTCGGAGACTCACAGGACGGAGTAGATACCGATCCCAGCAGCCGATACCCCCTCCTCCTTACCATCCCAGCTTACTACCATACGTGTTGTAAGTTCCTTCTTCTGACTTCTCTTGAGATTCTTTGCTTTATGAATGCCTTCTCTGTGGTCTGTCATTTAGTATGTGTTAAGTTACTGCTTTGGCTTGATGTTAAGTGGGACTTGGAAGCCATTTATTAAGGAAGAAAATGAGAAGGTAGAAAACTCAAATTATTTATCAAATTGCAAAATGGAAAAATTTAAAGTATTTGCCACTTACACAGTTGAATCAGTTTTTTTGTTTTGTTTTGTTTTGTTTGTTTTGTAGATTGTATTTTGTGTGAGTCTTTTGCCTGCAAGTATATGTATGCATGTCACGTGCATACAGTGCCTATAGAGCCCAGGTGAGGGCGTTAGCTCTCTGGAAATGGAGTTATAGATGGTTGTGGGCCACTGTATTGATGGTGGGAACTGAACCTAAGTCCTCTGCAAGAATAGCAAGTGCTCTTAACTGCTGAGCCATCTTTTCAGCTCCTAGAGTCATAAACAACAGGATTTTTGTTTTTTGTTGTTGTTGTTTTAGTTTTTACACTTACTAGAATGTATGGGATGGGGAGCACATGTATGCCACAACTTGTATGTGGATGTGGAGGTCAGAGGACACCTTGGGAATGTTTGTTCTCTTTACTATATGAATTCCAGGGATCAGACTCAGATCATCAGGCTTGCAGGGAGCAACCTTACTGTCTCTTAGGCCCTAGAATCATTTTTGATGGTATTTTTCTTAGAAAAGACAAGAAGTCATTTTTATGTCTTAGAACTAGCTAGTCTGTTAGGATTAAGTTTATCTGTAATGAACATCATGGGTTAAACATGGCATAATTTTATTTCTTACATAATGAAGAGTAGAAGTAGGCCAAATCCAGTGTGGTTTGTTACCCTGGTGTCTGAGGGGGTGAATTCTTCTGTTCTCAAGCTCAGGCCATTATAGTAAAACAGCTAGTAGAAGTGGATGTGGGAAGCTGGGTATGGTGGCATACTGTAATCCCAGGAGTCAAGAAGCTGGGGCACAAAAATTACCCCTAAATACAAGGCCAGCTTGCTGTACAGAAAAAGTACCAAGCCAGGTGTGGTTACATAGCAAGATCCTATTTCATAGAAAAGAAGGGTTAAAAAAATAAAGAAAATAAAGTAGGTTTCTCTGCTTACCTGCTTCTCTTGACATTTCCCAGAATGGAATATATTACTGTTGTTGTTATTTCCCTGACTGGGACTTAATCATGTCTGTAATTACTTTCTAAGACAAGTATGAAATGTAATCTTTAAGCTTCAAGTTATTTTTCTGATAATTTTAGCTTCCCCCTGTTTCCCCTTACCATATACCTTCCTCTCCTATTTGTCTTAAAATAAGGTACTATAACCTCCCAACTTAGTAGCTCAGAAATGTTTCTATTTAATCTTCTGTATTTCCATGTAAACTTTAAAATTAGCATTCTTTTTGTACTAAAAGCTATAAAAGTAACTTTTCTTCTCCTGTAGTAATAGTAATTAGCACCTTTTGGAAGCTTACTGCCTCTTTCTGTTAACTGAGGCTTAGCCTTGGAAGCTTCTAGGCTCTGTGCAGTCTAATCTAGGGCTAGAATGTTTTCAGCCTCCAAGACTTAACTGCTGAAGAAGCTCATCCTTTCTAGTTCTTTCTGAGCTGTTCTGGCTCAAACTCCTCTCCAAACTGACTGCTGGCTTCTTTCTCAGCCTCTGAAATGTTCTGCTTGGCCGCATGCTAGCTTTGGCAATCTGTTGTAGTCTTCCTGGCTCCTTCTCATTCTCTGGCTCGTTCTGTTTTCACCTGTGTCTAACTTGTTCTTTCTCTGTAACCTGTCAGTGTACAACTGTCCCAGTAGAACTTCCTTTCCTTTCTCTGCACTGCCCCTCAGGTAGCTTCCCTCTCCTCTGTTCTTGTGAGAGTTGTGCACATCCTATTCTGTCAGATCTTTTTCCGAGTCATCATTTTTTCTGCAACTCAATTAGACTTAATTACTTTCAAACATGGGTGCTTTCTCTACAAAGTAACTTTACCTTTATTGTTTGGAATTAAAGACGTGCACTGAGGATTAAGTGTGCACTAAGGGCTGAGCCACATTACAACTAGAAACAGATTTTTCTAGTAAACAACACAATCTCGGTTCATAATGTGATCACATACCCTGCAACAAAAAGACATTTATATTATAAGGTTTAGTAGAGTTTTGTGTTTTAAATCCATAGATCAATATGAAGGAATAGTGGTAACTAGTAATTTTTCTAGTCCACATATATATTAACTGTTTATCAGTCTTTATTATATAGGTCTTACATATGCTTTATTAAATCTATTCCTACATTTAAATTCTTCATTACATTCATTTATTCAGCATGAGTATGTGCACACAGTGGCCTCTGTGCATGCGCATACTTTGGTCCACTTGTGGAAATTAAGACAACTGTGAGAGTTGAATGCTCTTATCATCATGTAGGTTCTAGGGATCAAGTTCAGAATATCAGGCTTGACAGATCTCCTTTACCTCCTGAGCTATCTCTGGCCTTCATATATTTATCTCTTTACGCTATTGCGAATAGCTTGTTTTTACTCTCAATTTCTGTCTGTTTAGTAAAGTCATTGCCTTTAATGCCACTACTTAGCATTGACCATTCTTTGTCCATGTAATCTGTCTTTTGTCCTTCTGTCATTATCTGTGTTGTTGTACATCCTTACTAATGTTTCCTTGCTGGTTTTCTCTGTAGATCAATGCTTCCAGTACCTCCTGCAGTGGGCCCAACTTTCAGCTTTGAGTTGGATGTTGAAGATGGAGAAGTTGAAAATTATGAGGTTAGTAGATAATCTATGAATTTATTTGGGGAGTGTTGTATGTATTATCCTTTCACGTAAACATTTATGAAGTTAACTTTGCATTTTAAGATAAAAATAATCCAAAAAATTATTTAGCGTCCCTAAGGTATTTGAACATTTGCCACATACCTATTACAGTGGGTAGACTTGTTCATACTTATAATTCCAGGGGGAGGATGCAAACGGTGGAAAGTGGTAAGTTTTGATTAGGTGTTTAAAAAAGAATTATGGAAGCAAAGGTGTCTGAGCTGAATCTTGAAAAGGGGGATTTTTATTTATTTTTATTTCATCTATTTTTGCATATGGTTGAAGGAGGGAAGTGTTAGCACACTGTGGAATATGGTCTGTGACCTGTGTGGTGACACATGCCTATGGTCCGGACACTTAAGAGCTGGAAGCAGAGGATAACACATTAAAAGTCAGCTCAGACTACATGGTAAGACCTTGTCTTCAAAACGGGAGAAAATGGAGATTTGAGGCATTATGTTGGGATTGACACAGGAGGATCTCAAGTTCCAAGATCAAGTTGTATAGCAAGACACTTAATCTTTATATAAAAAGACAACCTAGTTATAGGTTGAAGGACATGAATAATGAACCATTAACAACTAAGGGAGAGTGAGGTACTAGTGTAAAATCAGTAAACATAATAAGATATATCAAGTGTTTTAAAATATGAGTTCATGGTCAACACTTTAAAAACTCAATTTATTGATCTTTTTTACAATTTGGTGTGGGTAAGTTACTCATTATAAGAATATTTCTTTAATAATGATGAAATTAGTATCATTCTCCCAGCCTTGATGAATTAATGGCACAGTAGGTTCATTTGTACCTGGTGGCTGAACAGTAGAGCGCAATGGGCCTGACAAGTCAGATCTCTCATTGTACAGGAATGTGCTGAACCAAGTCAGAAGTGGAAGTCATTAAAGTCACATTGGGAACATCTGTGGGTTTTGTTTTAATTTTGAGACAGGTTCCCCAAGCTGACTGACCTTTAACTTGTTCTATAGCTTTGCCTGTCTGATTAGTCCTGCTCTGTCTTCTGAGTCCTGTCCATAAGAGTTCTACCGCACCTGGTTTGATGTTGTCCTGGAGCTGGAACCCAGAGTTCTGTGTGTGCTGAGCAAGCACTCCACTAAGTGAGGTCCAGTCACAGCCACCCACTGGGAATCTCTACAGGTCTTTGACCTGATTTCTTCAACAAATATAAGGATAATGAAACTTGAGAGGCCGGAGAAATGCTACAACTATTAAAAGAATTTAGTGCTTTATCAAAGGACCAGAGTAAAGATCCCAGCACCTACATCAGGGACTCATAAACATCTGTAACTCTATCTTCAAGGGATCCAACATCTTGCTTCTAATCTCTATTGACACCCATGCATATATAGGACTTTACATATGATGACATTGTGTCCCTATTTGAATACAATGCTTGCTTTAAAAATAGTCAGTAGTATTTGAATATTAATTGGATATTTGATTTTAAATTAATTGTAATATGATGCCATGGTTGTGTTTTTAAATTTTTCTTGCGTGTATAGATGTTTGGCCTATGTGTATACTTGTGTACCGTGTGTGTGTGTGTGTGTGTGTGTGTGTGTGTGTGTGTGTGTGTGATGCCCTTAGAGGCTAAAAAAGTGTCACATGGTTGTGAACCCCATATGGGTGCTAGAACCGAGATCCTCTAGAGGAGTAGTCAGTGCTCTTAACTGCTGAGCCATCTTTCTATCTTTAATAAATTGATTATGTAATAGACGTGACCCACCTCCCCAAGGCTCACTTTGCACGAGTTAGTCTATACAGTTAGTCATATCTAAACTAAGTCTTGAAAATGTCTGTGTTTCTTATGGCTCTGTGCATGTGGTGCCTTTGCCATGTCATGGGGAGGTTTGTGGGAGTTGGTTCTCTCCTACTATGTGGGTCTGGAGATTAATTAAGCTTAGGTTGTCAGGCCCATGACAAGTGCCTTTACTTTGTTGAGCCAGAGTCATTCTTATTAGAATACCTGGCCCTGTTGTATATTTACCTCTACTGTTTTGGAAATGAATTTGTCTTTGATAAAATCATCCTGAAATTCTTGTGTGATGGTTATCACTTCTCAGTGGCTATCCTGATTGCTGTCCTAATGACTGACTATTCTTGTGAGCATATGTGAAAAATCTTAAGTTTAGAGTACAGCTTAGTTACAGCCTAAGTACATAGTTTACCTATATAAAATGAAGAGTTGTAAGTCCAAGCACTTGAGAGACTGAAGCAACGGTCTAGTTTACAAATTGATATTTGTCTCAAAAAAAAAAAAAAAAATAGAAGTTACTCCAGTGGATTGCCAAAGGGCTCTTGTTCAGTCTCTGGGATTCATTTGGTGTAATGGAGAGTACCGCCTTCCCACATACACTGCCTTCAGACCTTTGCTTGTGCTCCATGGTACCATGTGTGTGCATGCAGGTGCACATACACAAGAAATTAAACTGTTATGATAGTACTCCAGGAGGAAATGTAAAGAGATGAAAAATCTATCTCCTTCTCCTCTTTAGGCCCTGTTAAACCTGGCAGAGAGACTGGGAGAGGCGAAACCTCGGGGACTGACTAAAGCTGATATTGAGCAGCTTCCTTCTTACAGGTTCAACCCTAGCAACCACCAGTCAGAGCAGACTTTGTAAGTATGTGTCTGTGACACTCCTACTACCTTTAGGAAGCTAAAGTCTGAGTGCCTGAGAGAATGTGATAAAGGTGGGTGGTTAGCATAGACCCTGACCAGGTTCCTGCTAAGGGAGTCTAGTCATATGGACTGATTTTTTAAAATTCATTTTTATTTGTTTGTTTGTCTTATGTCTACAGTGTTATGCCTACATATATGCTTGCAGGCCAGAAGAGAGCACCAGATCTATCAGTAAACGGTTATGAGCCACTATGTGGTTTGCTGGGAATTGAACTCTGAAAGAGCAGCCAGTGTTCTTACCGCTGAGCCATCTCTCCAGCCCCCTTGTGGACTCTTTAAGTTTCCCTAAGTTACAATAGCAAGTGACTGATAGTGAAGTTTAAGTACAGGTTTGAATACAAAATGAGCTGAAATTCATATCAGAAAGTTCACTGAATTTAAGTGGGTTTTTTTTATTAATTTTATTTTAATTTTTGTCTTGTTTTGCTTTTCGAGACAGGGTTTTTCTGTGTAGCCTTGGCTGTCTTGGAACTCACTCTGTAGACCAGGCTGGCCTCGAACTCAGAAATCCGCTTGCCTCTGCCTCCCAAGTGCTGGGATTAAAGGCGTGCACCACCACAGCCTGGCTTATTTTAATTTTTTTAGGGTATTTATAAAATTGTGCAGCTATCACCACAGGTTTAGACCATTTCATCGCTCCAAAAAAAAAAAAAAATGGTTTCCTCTTAACCTATTAGCAGCCACTGTTCCTGATCTTCTCAGCCCTGTTCTCTTTCTCCCTTTCCCTCTCTTTTTCTCTTTTTCTCTCTCTCTTTTTTTTTTTTTCCCTGAGAGACAGTTTCTCTGTGTAGCCCCACCTGTAATAGAACTTGGCCTTGCTCTGTAGAACTCAGCAGAGATCCACTTGCATTTGCCTCCTGAGTGCTGGGATTGAAGGCGTGGGCCACCACTGCCTGCCTGCCGCTCATCCTCTTAATGCCTTGTCTCCTCTGTCTCTAGATAGCACATAGCTGGAATCCTATAACACTGTGCTTCTCATACTGTGTGTGTTCGTTGTGTTATATGCAAGTGCGTGTGCACATAGAAATCAGAAGTTGATATCAGGTGTCCTTTGAATCATTCTGCAGTTCTAGAAGTCAGAGTCTCTACTGAACCTCACTGATTCTCTAGCCAGCCTGTCCCAGGAATCCCAGCATTTTTATGTGAGTCAGACCTTTGGGTCTGAACTCTGGTCCTATTATTTATACAACAGACTTTATCCACCAAACCACCTCCCCATCCGTAATTGATTTCGTATATGGGGTAAGATTTTGGAGTCTTCTATATTGCTTTTTTTTTTTCTTTTCTTGAGAATATCCTACTGTTCCAGTACTCTTGGGGGGAGGGGTACAGGAGGGAAGAACAGGGTCTCACTAGTCTAGGCAGGCCTCAGACTCAGAGAGATCCTCCTGCCTCTGTCTTAAGCACTAAGATTAAAGGTGTCCACCAACATGCTCAACCTTACTCCAGTACTTCTAAGAATAATACATTATTGGTGGTCTAATATCTCTAGTTTTCAGATGGACTGGGATGTTAATTAGAAATGACCCTTTTTGTCACTTGTTTTTTGTTCTTTCTGGTGAGTGTGTAACATGTTTGAGTGTAGTTGTGTAGTGCCTGCATGTGAATGGTGCATGAGCCTGTGCCTGCACAAGACATTGGGTGTCTTCCTCTGTTGCTTTCCACTTTATTGTCTTGAAATAAGATCCCTTACTAAGCTAGTTTGCTTTTGCCTCTACATAGGCCAGCCAGGAACCCTAGACTTCCTTGTCTCTACCTCCCAGTGCTGGGGTTACTTGCACACACACCCATGCCTGGCTTTGTACATGGATGCTTGGGTCTTCATGCTTACAAACACTGTTCCGCACTCAGCCATCTCTCCTGCTCCTTAACCAGACACTTTTGATAATCTGTCAATAAATCAAAGAACCCTCAGTAAATCCCTTAGCACCATCATGTTTAGGATAGTGGTAATTTTTTTAAAGTGATATTTTGATAACCAAGAATAGTTTTTTAAACATAATAGTCATAAAAAAATAGAAGACCAAAAATGATTTCTTTGCTCTTTTCCAGGTGTGTAGTGTGCATGTGTGATTTTGAGTCAAGGCAGCTCCTTAGAGTCTTACCCTGTAACCACGAGTTCCATGCCAAGTGTGTTGATAAATGGCTTAAGGTAAAGTGACCACGAGTGTAAAGAGAGTGACTATGCTTGGCATTTCTGTTGATGATAAGATCAGCTGAGTAAGTCCATGGTTTGGAGGCGGGTGGGGCACAGGAGAGCCGATGGAAGCATGGCGTTTACAGGGAACACTCTGTGAGAAGTCCAGGTAAGAGCAGCTGTAGAGACTGGACTGAAGATAGACTGGTCCTGTGTGTGCTTAGCATGGGTGACTTCTGGGTGCAGTTTCCAGCTTTGTTTGTTTGTTTGTTTTTTAAGAAGGTAATTGTCGCCATCAACGAGGTGGCAGTTTCACACGGGCAAGGCAGGGAGCAAGCACTCGATGTGTCCCTATTATTATCTGTGTGTTCTCATTTTAACCTTGGGCTTAAGACCTGGGCTCCTGAGAATTCTTTTTTAATTAAATCAGAGTCATGATGGGACCTTGCTGAGGCTTTTTTGCCAGAGATTTTTCTGAGGAATAAGCTTTTTACTAAATTCTGATCAGTCCTTCTGTGCATATAGAAAGCCCAAAGATGAAGACCAGCAGCAGTCAGTGGTCTCTCAGCGTGACTGCTGAGGCCTCTTGTCTTCCTTTTTAAGCTTTTGCTTTGTGTAGTCTTAGTTATGTGAATAAAATATAAATAAAATGACAAAAGAATGTAAATAGTCAATTTTGAGAGTTTTTTAGTGGAATGTGCTAATTAGACAACTTTTATAGTCTAATAAGGAAATCAGTTAAGGTAGAGCTGGTGTTCTGGTACATACCTGTGATCCTCCCACTCAAGGGAAGGCTAAGCCAGGAAAGTCTTGCCCCGAAGGCCATTCCAGACTACATAGTAAGACCTGTCTACTAAATCCTGAAAATGAAGAGTCTAAACTTCATAGAAAAAACAAACAAAAACATGGCTTGTGTGTGTGTGTGAGGGGTGGTGCACAGGGGAGACCCGATGATGATGTCACTGGTTACTGAAAAGTCAGTCTGAAGCATGGAGGAGTTTATGCTTGATTCTGAAAAGCAAGGGGAGGGTGCTACTGCAGCTGTGTTTTACAAACCTCCCTGGCCACAGTGTAGAGAATGAGACAGAAAATACATTCCTCAGAAAGGAACTGAATAGGATGAGGGTGAGCCAGGCATAGTGAGTAGTGATAAACAGCCTAGAAGACTGATCTCTCTCAGAGCCATCCATCATAATGTGGGAATTAGAGTGTTTGCTGAGTAGTGGTCATAGCAGGTAAGACAGTAAGTGATGCCTTTGTTTTTCCCACCTGTGGAAATAAAGGGAAAAAAACACGTTAGGAGTCAGGGAAGGAGTAAGTGGGAACCATGTACAGTATGACCTTACTCTGTTAATCTTAGCACTCAGGAAGCAGGACAGGTGGGTCTCGTTGAGTTGGAGGTCAGCCTGATCTACACAACAGAGAGACCTTGCAAAAACTAAGAGTAGTGAAGACTGGACCCAGGCCTGCTCTTGGCATGTGAAGTCCTAGCACTGTGAAGAGGTGAGGACAGGAGGAGGGCTCCATTCTGAAGACTAGTGTGTATGGCATCCTGGATTTAATGCCCAGCCCCATCCCTGTTATCCTTCCTCCAAAACCAAAAAGAACAGCCAAGATCTTGATTTTAAGTTTTTTTTTTCCAAACTAATTGCAAATAGCAAGTCATGTTTATGAATTTAAACAAAGTCATTAAAAAGTGAGTTATCTAGCTGTTTTGTTTTGTTTTGAAACAAGTTCTCATGTAGCTGAGGCTTGCCTGACTTACGATTCTCTTGCCTCCACCATCTAGGTTTAGGATTTGTTTTTAAAGAAATAGAACGTAAAGACCATATGAGAGTATATGAACTTGGTACTTGACTGTATGAGATGTGACTTCAATGAGCTTCCTTCCTCTTGTTTTTCAGGGAAATCGTACTTGCCCAATTTGCCGAGCTGATGCTTCAGAAGTGCATCGGGATTCAGAGTGACCAGCCTAAGAGCACAAATGTAGTTTGGGTGTTCCTCATCACATGTATATATGGACTATCCATTGAACTTAACCTGTGTGGCTTCCAGCCCTCCCTTTACCAAAAGGGTCAATGGACCTTTCTTTGCACTGTGTGACTTAATCAACTATAAAAGCTTACAATTAGTCTTCACAATTATGGGATTGTTATACTAACTGTGTGATTGGAACTCCAAAGACCTTTTCTTTAGCTTAATTTTGTGTGTGCACTAACATTCCCTGGTTTTTGTGTGATCATTCCGAGTGTTGCTGCAAGATTACAGTGGACGTGATCTTTTAGCATGTGCTTTTATAAAAAGTGGTAGCTCCAGATGATATAGCAATCTACCTTATATAGAGCCTTCAGAAACTGTGAGTGGAAGTGAGTGCAGCGTATGACTGCTGGTGATCAGTGAATCTGTGAGAGAGTGTGCAACTACATGTGTGGGAGCATGGTAGCTACTGTGTGTGTGAGATCTATATACCAGCATGTACCCAGAATGTGTGTGTAGTTTTAATTATGCTGCAATGTATAATCTGGTGTGTTATTTAAACAGCACTAGTACTGTACACTGGTTTCCCTTGTGTTTGCTGTTGCACACTGATTGCTAAGGGTGCATCGATTCTAAGCATTGAATACTCCATCCCCTTCCCTCCCAATGAGTGGAATGAGAAAAGCCTTCTTCCTTTGCTTCAGGCAGCTGTCCCCTTCTCTTCCTTCGTGATCCTAAGTGGGTCACTTAAGAAAAAAGTATCAGATTCTCCATGACCTGATTTTTTTTTTTTAATTTTCAGTTCTATTGTAAAAGAAACTTAGTCTCCAACTTGCTATTTCCAAAAAGAAGGTGCAATATCATATATATCATCATTAGCAATATTAGCATTTCAATCAGTGATCTGAGTGTTACTTGCTTTTTCTTTACATTTCCAGTAGCTTCCTTACAGAAAGGACCTGGGTTTTTATTAATGTGTAGATTTATGGTCTGTTCTGAAGATGTTTGAGTGATAGATTTTTAAGAACACACTGGTCCTGGAAGTCTTGCCTCCTTGACTTCTTCTAGAGCAAAACCTGTTAGCGACTCAGCCTGGTTCTGGTTTGTGTTCTTCACTCAGGCCTCCATGGGCAACAACGGTTTCAAGAGAACTGTTTGTTTCTGTGTTTGAGTTCTGTGGTGTTGAGTTCACACACTCCAAGCCTGAGGTTGTCTGCTTCTTCCCTCAGTAAAGATTCTCACTGAAGCCTTTTGTTTCAGAATGGGTCAAGTGCTGTGACAGCTCATTTCTCAGGCCTGGTTTGCTTTGATGTCTTACTCTTAATTTATGTTAGAATGAGAAAAGCTTAATACAACAGGTGCCCAGAATACTTGCAGTGTAAGTGAAGATTGGATTTTTGTATAAAAAAAAAATAATGCTGTCAAACGGGAATTGACCTTTATTTAATCTGAAATGATACATAGCTGTGTGTGTGTATATTTTTTAAAAATAGGTTCATTGAACATAAATCAGATTGTTTGAGGTCATTTTTCAGCAACATTGGATTCCTTTCTCCTCAGTGTGCTCAGCCTTCTCTGCCTCTGTGAGTGTCAGCATGTGTGCAGCCACACAGGCTGCAGCCTTCCACTCGCAGCCGTGACACCTGCCTGCCAACCTCACTCAACTCACAGTTGGCACCAGGCCTGAGGCCTGTTTTTTTACTCAGACAGGGACAGTGTTCAACTACTTGTTACTGCCGTGTTCCTTATCATCCCTTGAAGTTTCTCTAAGCTCATCACAGCCTAGAGTTCAGGAAAGTTAATCCACACAGAAGCACAATTTTGTCCTCTTCCAGACACCGTTGCCTCTATCTAGTTAGACAAATAGGATTTGACCTACATTCTATTGCCCCTAGATTTGTGTTAGTGTCGGAAATATGTAAACAGTGGTAAAATGCACGTTACTTTTAAATCATTAGGATAACCCCTGTCCGCTTCCTAATGAATAAAAGGTGTGTTAAATACCAAAATTATTGACATATATACTAATCAGCTCCAAATCACATACAGTTTAATCTTTATTTTTTAATTTAAAGAAATCATGTTTAAAATGGTAAAAAGTCCATCTTATATATAGACTTTTATATAGCTTCAGAAACTTTGTACCTGTACAGCAGCTCTAACATGACACTGTTCCACTCAGCATCCATCCTGTTGATGCACTTTCCTAACTACTGCAGACAGACTGACTCCCAAGGCTCATTGTGCTCACGGCTGGAAAGGAGCTTTTCTTCTATCTGTGTTTGCCATGAAGCCCCTTTCCCAGTAGATAGATAGATAGATAGATAGATAGATAGATAGATAGATAGATCTCTCTCTCTCTCTCTCTCTCTCTCTCTCTCTTTCAGAAGCAGTTGGCAATTTAGGAGGCTTCTGGGTCTGTCTTGGTAAAATCCTGTTGTGCAGATGACTGCTGTCTCCTGGAAATGTCTTAGCACAGAGCTCTTGAGGCAGTGCAGACCTGTTCATGGCAGGGTTAGGCTGTCTTAGGTGCACACTTGCCTGTGATCTCCAGCTAGCCTGGTGAGTGTCTTTGTAGCTAGCAAATGAGGACGGAGATGCACCGGGTGGCAGAGGATGCGGGTAGCCTTCGTCCTCTGCCTCTAGAACATGATCGGCATCACCATCCTAACCCAGCTGTGGTGTTTTTGTATGATTTGGATTTGGGGTTTCGTTTTCTTTTGGTTTGTTTTAGTTTGGTTTTGATTTTGGTTTGGTTTGGGGTTGTTGTTGTTGTTGGTTTTTTAGTTTGTTTTTTTTTTTTTTCATGAATCACGATATTTTGTACTTTTAAAAACTCCAACCTCCACAAAACAACTCAAGGCCTGCAAGTATCAAGATGTCCTGAATTTTTTTTTTTTTTTAGCAGAATCTGAAATTAGATTTTATACACGACCTGAAATGTAATTTGCTAACATTCTTATATTTGGGCCTCTTGTGATAAGTTCATATACAGTCTGCCTGCCTGCTTCTGAGAATATTTTCACAGTATCTCCAGGCCTTCCTTAAGTCTGTCCCCCACTGTGCATCTGCTTACCTCATGTTGCTGTTTGTTTCAGATTATGAAAGCTCACGGGGGTGCTTGTTGGAATCGTTTGCTGAGTCATTTCCTCAAATCATATTCCATTGTGTCAGTTAACATATGTATGTATTATAAATATCTGTAACCAAAATCATTTGAAGGCTTGATAAATTTTTAACAAAGTTTGTACATTTTTTATGAGAGTTACTAGTAATGCTTTACTAAGTAGTGCAATGAATTTTTATTTTTAATCCCTGTGCCCAATTTTGGAGTTGAGAGGGTTGTTGGTAATAAATGTATGATGTACACTTAAAACATGTTGTGTTTCCTGTAAGGTGTGTTTTAGAGTCTGTTTGCAAAGGGCTAGCTAGAGGTGAGGGGACAGCACGGTAGGTAACAGGGCTGTAGTGAGGTGCTGACCACCGAGCTCGATCTTTCAGTGTGTGCTTTGGCATTGTGTAAACAACCGAAACTCACACAATGAGCATTGGAATGTGAAGTACATGTTTCCTTAAAAGGAAGACAAGCATTCAGCAGAAAATGTAGCACACATGGGTATGTGCATATCTAAAGGAGGTATGGGTGTAGGAAACTTAAGTGTATCATCATAACCCTTCCCCCACTCCCATGAACCAAAATACAGGAAAAATCCCAGGTAACTGGAAAAGGAAGTATACATTAGGGTCAGTTTATATCCAAGTTACTGTCAACATAAACAAGGGAAAAGGATCTTCTCATTGTTATACATGATTGCATAATAGATCTCTCCTTTGACTTGAAATGTAAGCAATAAGCTGACCTTAGTTACTTGAGCAGGTAACTGTGTCTGGTATGGCCCCAGCAAATTCATGCAGAAATCCTGATTTCGAACCATTAGCCTGGGAAAAAGCTGTTGTAAAAAGTCATTACATCCTCAGCAAATGTTCTTCTAGGAGGAAGTAGTTCATCAGGTGATGAACTGCTTGTTATTTATGTGTATGGCAACACTGTAGCTGTCTTCAGACACACCAGAAGAGGGCACCAGATCTCATTATAGATGGTTGTGAGCCACCATGTGGTTGCTGGGAATTGAACTCGGGACCTTTTTGAAGAACAGTCAGTGCTCTTAACCCCTGGAGAGAGAGAGAGCTATCTTTCCAACCCGAATTCCCCCTTTGACAAGTGTTTACAGCATTCTCTAGGCTTTGATAGTATTACAAGCGTCTCAAATGTGCCAGCAAACACCACTGGCTATAATATTTAAATGATTAGAAGCCCCTGTTTATACTAGAGTAAAATTCTTTTTTTTTTTTAAAGGTTTATTTATTTTATTTATATGAGTACACCATAGTTGTCTTCAGACACACCAGAAGAGGGCGCTGGATCCCATTACAGATGGTTGTAAGACCCCATGTGGTTGCTGGGAATTGAACTCAGGATGTCTGGAAGAGCAGCCAGTGTTCTTAACCGCTGAGCCATCGCTCCAGCCCTAGAGTAAAATTCTTGTGTGGTCTGACAGAAGTGTAGTTTAGTGGCCACATTTCCAAGCAGAAGAATTGATCATGTAGAGTGCTTCAACTGGAAACACAGTCCAGTCCAGTCCAGTCCTCTCCATATGTGAGAGTATATGTGGCTGTCTTGGTGCCTGTGGCTCAGGTCGAGACTGCTGCGCTGCGTTTTCTGGTTTCTAAAGGGCTGTGCTTTAACTATGGGTAGTGTGTGTCTATAATCCTGACACGTGATAGTTGAAAGCTAAAAGTTGATTGGGCTCTATTGAAGGAGATCCTCTTTAAATGCACCTGACTCTCCATCCTTCAACCTTGTGTGTGCAGAGGATGAACTGTGTTACTCAGGAGTTTCTCTTGTCCTTTGAGACAGGGCCTCTCACTATCCTGGATCTCACCAAGCAGGCTAGGCTAGGCTAGGCTGATGGTTGAGCCCCCCAAATTCTGTGGTCTCCACCTCCCCAGCACTGGCACCTCAAGTATCTGCCACCGTCCTCGGCTCTTTTTTGTTTGTTTGCTTTAATGTGGGTTCTGGGAATCACAGTTGGGCCGTTTACACCATAGTGAGTTAGATTAGCTCTTCAAAGAGATTTTTAATCTGACTATAGTTTAAAGCATAGAATGATAAAATTAAAAAGTTTGAGTCTACACAGCTCTCCCCAAGGGCTCAGGGCCGTGTGAAAGAGGAAGAAGGTAACGAGTGCTGTGAAATGCTGTCTTCCGGAGAACACATGCCAAAACTCACTGCAGCTATAGTTTATCTGTACAAAATTCAAGCCAAGACTAGTCAACATCCCAACAGGCGGCAGCTAATTATACTCAGTGAGTGTGTTAGTCCAGTGTAAGCTAGAATCTCGAAGTAGGCTTTAGTGGCAGTGAAAAAATGGGCTAGCCATAGAGTGAGAGCAAGCTTCCTTCTATGTCCTTTATATAGGCTACCAGCAAAAGGTCTGGTCCTGATTAAAGGTGTATCTTCCCCCACCCCCAAAGGATACAGATTAAAAGTAGTTCTTCCCACTTCAAATGATTTAATTAATCAAGAAAATAATCCCACAGATGTACCAGCTGTTTAAGTTTGTTACTTGCAGACACAGCCTTGTTGACAACAAATAGCCATCGAAGTGGGTTACAAGGAGGAGGGGCATAAAGACATGCTGGAGGTACCTGGGGAAATGGGAGGGACAAACTAGGTACGAATATGACCAATATACATGGTTTGGATGTGTGAAACTTAAGAATATAAACTGTAGGGCTGGAGAGATGGCTCAGTGGTTAAGAGCACTGACTGCACTTCCAGAGGTCCTGAGTTCAAATCCCAGCAACCACATGGTGGCTCACAATCATCTGTAATGAGATCTGATGCCCTCTTCTGGTGTGTCTGAAGACAGCTACAGTGTATTCATATATAATAAATAAATAAATCTTTTAAAAAAAAAAAGAATATAAACTGTAAACGCAAGCTAGGCCAGAGGAGATAGTCAAGTACCCAGTCTTTAACCTTCACTTACAAAGCTGGCTTAGTTATGAACAATATGCTGCCCTGGTACAATTCAGGAACAAAGAGGGCTGGGGATATAGCTTGGAAGGTAGAGTGCTTGCCTAGCATAAAACCTTGGGTTTATCCCAGCATCATACAGACTTGAACTTAGAATCCCAGTACTTGGAAGGCAAGAGAATTGAGTTAGGACAGCCTTAAATTAACATGGTGAGTTAAAGGACGACTGAGGTCCTGTGTCAAAAGTCAGCGTTCCTTGTCTGGTCAGTAGATTCCCATGTCTTATGTTTGATTAGTACCTTTAGAATTCCCAGCTACTTAAATTAGAGAAGTAAATGGCAGTTGGGGCTGGAGATGACTCCTCTCTTTTGAGGAGGTTGCTGCTTTTGCCAAAAGTCCTGAATCCAAGACATCCAATGTCCTCTTCTGGCCTCCTTGGGCATCTACACTCAATGTGCGCACAAATAAAAATATTTTTTTTCTATCTGAGTTGTTATAACATTGGGCATTCTGAATAATCGGCATGATTATCCTTCAACTTACTTTCAGATGACTGGGTTCTTAATAAGACTGCTGTACAGCACACATGCTCCTTACCTCTCGTATTCGGTCCTCTGCTTTCCAAGGTAGCAGGAAATCCAGGATAAGAGTAGGATAAGACTAGTAGCTTCATGATTGGGCACTCGCCTAGCATCTGCAAGCCTTGGATTTCATCCCCAGCACCACCAAAATGTTCTTGGGCGTCCATGAGATCAAGGTAAAGTGAGATGCAGTGTACAGTCCCATTCCTAGCAGCCTACCAACCATGAGCAGTGCACACAAAACACCAACGTGCTGCCATCTTTGCCTTTACCCTTAGGAATAAACATTGTCAATGTAGCAATTTCCTGCTTCCATTGCCCTAGGCCTGTGTCTCAATCATTTTTTATAAGTGGGAGATTTAGCTCAGGAGGTAGATTGCTTGTCTACCATGCATGAATCCTGGATTTGGTCCCAGCACCGCATAAACAACTTGGTGATGCACAGGGATAAACCTAGTACTTTGGGTGGGGTGAAGACAGGATCAGAAATTTAAGGTCATCCTCAGCTACATAGGGAATTTGAGACCAGTCTGGGTTGTATGAGACCTTGTCTTGGAAGAAAAAAAAACTGAAATCTTCTAATAGTGACTGTATATCTTCTAGTAACTGCTGGTCAAAATTACAGAGATAAACATTTCTGTAGTAAGTGGAGATGGGACTCACATGTTTTTGCTACTTTAGGACAGAAATATCAGAACAACTGTCCTGCCAAAATTAAGCTAGCTTAATCAAGGAGAATGTACAATTCTGTCTTATGATTCAGCCTTAGAAGAGCCCTAGTATGGACACTGGTGAGAAGAGAAATAGATTGGCTATTCTAGTTCCAGAAGCCCTGGGGAATGGCAGGTCCAAGCTACCAAATTTTAGTAGGGGAGACAAGCCAGAAAGGAAAAAAGGGTCACCTGAGCCTAGGCCTTCTGAGGCAGCCTGGGCAGTATAACAAGATACACCTCCCTCTTCTCAAAGGAATGAAAAGGTATTGGAATAGCTTAGCAGGTGTAAGGTGCTTGCTGTGTAGCCTGCCACCTAAGCTTAAAACCTCAACTCTGAAAGTATAAAGAGGGAATGAAGATAATATGCGTGTGTAACTCTTTTAAAGATAAAGATAAATGGTAGGTTGAGTGTGCCTATAATTCCGGCACTAATTTTTATAAAGGTAGTTTCGAAGGGGCAGCCTGACTTACTGAGGGAGACCCTGTGTCAAAACAAATCAGTTAGGTGCCAGTCCAGGTGTGACAGGAAAAGACCTTAATCCCAACACTCAGGCCAGCCTGGTCTACACAGTTCTAGGCCAACCAAGGCTTCAAAGTGAGACTCATCTCAAAAAGTCAAACTAGGTACCACTCATCCAAAAACACTCCGAGACAATGAGCAAGATGAAGGCAAATGCACAATTTTAAACCGTAACAGGCACACTACATAAAACCTAAAGTAGTCCCACAGGCTGGAGAGAGAGCTCAATGGTAAGAATGCACAGCTCTTGGGGAAGACATGGGATTGATTGGCAGCTCCCGCATGGGGCTCATTACCATCTAATGGTAACTCTAACTCGAGTTCCAGGACATCTGACTCTGCTTCTCCATGGACTAGCCACACACAGGGTGCATAGACACAAAGGTAAGGAAAGCACTTGCACATATACGTAAAAATACTTAAAAGGTTTCCCCTCTCATTCCAAGGCATCTGTGTTTCAATTTAAAAATAGGCAAACTGCAGATCTTCACCTCTCCCTCCTCCAAATCCAATGTCATCCCT